CCGCAGGGTTCCTTGACATTCTGGACTCGGATTCTGGATCTTCCAAGGATTCTTTCGCGAAATCCTCGCAAGAAAAGAAGGTAAAATAAAATGTAATAATGGTATCGGTTGTTCGAAATCCACGGCTCGGAACTTTGTTGTCCTTGTAATGCGTACAAAATTCCAAATTTCCTTGCGAATGGAAAACGGGTATAATTTTGACATTATAAAATAGAATGATCTATACATTGGGATAGGATTGTCACGTCACGTCACGTTGCAATAACGAACGGGTAATGGATTAAGTAAAGCGTTGTTGTACGGAAGGATCGGGGGGGTCGAGAAGTGTTTCGGGCAGAACTAACAAGCAACTTCGTAACACGTGATGATATGCTTGTTTACAGTCGGTGTGACCTTTACGCATTTTGTTAGCCACTACCAGTGGGGGAATTTGATCGGGTCAATTATACGGCGCTGATCGAATCTTCACGTGAAATTAGATTGGCCACGACGGAACGCGACGGTGGTACGTCGTGAATCCTATCCATGAAGACTGTATAAGGATATTATCATATATATGATATCGCACGTATGATATTGACTGTGTGTATGATGTATGCATGTATGTATGATATTGACTGTATATTATCATATATATAATATGATAATGACATATGATAATATGATATATATATATACATGAAATAAAAATTTATCATTTAAATACCCCCCCCCCCCCAAATCCTAATAAATAACGGATTTGGGTGGAGTATTTAAATATTGGTTTATTATATATTTATTAATTATATAATAAATTTATTATATATTCGAATATAAAATCTTAATAATACATTAAATAATATATTAATAAATTATTTATATATACATAAATCTTCTTTATAATTAAATGTATAATATATTAATAACATATTTAATATATAATATATATAATTTTTTTTTTATAAATATATTATATTACAGAAATTGTAATTATTTATTTTTAATAATTAATTTATATAACCTATATAATATTTATAATTTTAAATAATTTTATATCATATTATATATGATATATTTATATATATGATATTTTATATATATGATATATATTGTAGTCTGTGCGCACTTGCTCCGCGACTGGACGAAATATTCATAACTTCAAGTTCGGGATTTTGCTAACAGTTTTCTGGCGACTTTTCTAGGGTGTTGGATTTCCTTATACAGTCTTCATGATCCTATCCTATCCGAACCTTTTGTACGACTATTCTCACGCGTTCCCGTTTCTTTCTTTATTACTTTGAATACATGGGTTCGTAAAGAGACGACTGATACCGAACTGTCGTAGACAATCGACGTCGGAGTTGTTCCGGGCGTATTTTTATGGAGCTGGCGAGGAAAAAAAGCGCGCGCGTTGCCGAAGATAAGAAAAGGGATTAATAGGGTGGCATCGCACGCTGTAACCAGGGTCTTGATGAATGAACCGCACGGCAGCTGGCTCCACAGCGCTGATTGGTCGCGCATCACGCCGCGTTTGTGGATCTTTTGCCAGTAGATCCGCGCATAAGCGTACCCGCTGCCCTAACCAGAACCCCCGTAGACCCCTGCCGTTGTTCCGTGCGGCCACGGATGTCGACCCCGTGCTCGAATCGGCGCCCGAAATTTCGTAAATCGATTTCTTCCTTCGCCTACTCTTCGTCTCGCCTGTCTTTGCCCATTCTCTCCTCGTCCCGAGTCGATTCTACTCGAGCGTTGCTCTTATCTTCTTTCGACCGCGAGCGTGTATCTGTCGAGTGTCGAGTTCGAGCGGTCCGACTAGACGACGATTTTTTTAAGAGCTGGGAAGAATCTTGAAATCCAAAGAATAAATATAAACGACGCGTTCCAGGCTATTTCCATCACTTTCGGACCCGACCATTTTTCACTTGGCTGAAATTTATCATAATATCCTATTAAACACCTTTTTGCGAATTTTTCGAAAAAAGAACGTCGTTTTTTTTTTTCTTCTTCTTCAAATGGCTCCGTCAAAAATATGGGTTTTGACGAATATTTTGTATCTTACGAAAAAGAAAAAAAAAAAAAATACAAATCGAAATACTTTAATTCGTCTCACAATTTTTTGATCTCTTCCCAAAGCCCGGCAATGCTCGAAACGTTGTCAGTTAGTTTAGGTCGCGTTGCGTTGGGCGAGACTACTATTACGGGCCATGCACCTCCCCACGCGAGATTTGCACGGCTTTCATTGGCTCGATTAAGTTTGATTAATTCCATTTGAGCGTACCATTGTTCGGAGCAGAGCGGCTTACCCCATTGGTCGGTGTAGACCCAGTGCGGGCTGCACGAGGGAGCCGCGCGTCAAGGGGAGCAACCATAGCGTTCGCATGAACTGGTTTTGTGTGTTTTTCGCTCTGCCCGTTTTATGCTCGCTTCCACGTCCGCTTAAGCCGAGGATGATTTGTGCCCTGCCTTTTTCCTGTGTCCTACGTGATACCGCTTTGATGTGCGTTTGCGCGCATACGACGCGGGAACTCTTAACCGTGCTGTACCCCGTCGATGCCTACCGCTTCTTTTCTACGAACTCGAATTATTCGCAACACTTGTATTCGGTACGTTCTTATTTTCGGTACGTTCTTATTTTCGGTACGTTCTTATTTTCGGTACGGTACCACCGTTAAAAATTATTATCGGCTCAACACCGACAGTTTCGATGTTCTAATCGGCACATTTTTGAAAATTCCGCTCGCGTTTCAAGAACTACGCGAACCAATTAAAATAGAACGCATTTACGCCGTTTCACGAGAACATCTCTAAATTCCGTAATTCCGCCGTCCGATGTGTTACACGGATAAAACGCGGCGTAATAATCGCACGAGAGGAACTGCGGCCGATAAACTCGACGTGCTTGTGCAGTCGTATCGATGGACGATAGTTTACGATCCGTGAGAAAAATCTGGATCTGTTCGCAGATTCACAGCCAACGCGATTCGGAATATGAGAATAGTATCAACGTACAAGTGGCACTGTTTCGTGCCACGAGACGAGTATACGGCGCCATAGTCGACTGATGACGAGGTAAAAGGCAATTTTTCTGTAATACGTGAAAGCTGATGCGATAAGTTGCAATGCATGATATCATCGAGGATAGAAAAATGTATTGATAAATTGCTCGTCTTGCCACTAACGTTTCGGTTACACCGTTCGTGCCCACCGTTCGCTCGAATTCATTTCCCTTTGGTGAGTTTTCAGCATGGTCGCCGGGACAGATGTATCGGCAACGCCAAAGTTGATAGGTGTGACGACCTCCCAGGCTTAAGCCGTACCCTCGCGAGGGAGGTCTCAGGGTGGCGTCGCGTCGCGTCGCAACCAATCTTTCAGCCGTGCGACCGCATGCGTCCTGTCGTCTCCTGTCGCTTCGCCGTTTCCTCGCGAAAAAATGGCGAATAAAGTTTTCTTACAAAAACCTTGAATATCTAACGAATAACAAGTGTACTAACGATAAGTCGAAATATCTCTTACAATTATTATCGGGCATTCGTCGCTACTCGACCTACAAACGTGTCACGTTACGACAGCCCGAGACCAAAATGTCGCGTTTCACACGTTGCCCAACGGTACGCCACGGGCCAGGCTCGCGACAATCCGTTTTTCTAGAGTTTGTTTATTCTCTGATGTTTGTCGACGAGCATCGAACGTAGAGAAGGACAGCGAATAAAGACGAGAACGGAACGAAAACACCAGGTTACGTCGACGAGTTTAGTTGTTGCATTAGGATTGTCTCGCCGAGATATCCGATCCCGGATCACGTTTACGTTACTCGGTGAATATACACGAACTCCTCGACCTCTCAAGGGGTACACCTCCCGGTCGTGGGGATCGTTCACCGTGCACTTTTGATCATTCGAATCGGTTGGAAATGCGCGACGTTGCGAGTAAGTTTAGCAGTTAGAAATTCGCGGCAAAGTATCAAAGTTGAGGTGTTCGGGACCCCACATATCGTTTCCATTGTGATTCGCCATTGAACGATCCCCGCCCAGTACTCTAACTCCTCTGGGTGTGGCATGGGATTGTGTTGCCGGCTGCTCTTTGTGTCCCTCCAATCTCGCCCCTATTGGTAACCTTTGCTCGAACTGTACTTGGCCAATCTGTTGCTCTACAATTTTTTTCATCTCGGCCGCCATACGAGGAGAGAGGCCAATCGTACCGCCGACAGCGTTTTTTTTTTTTTCAATTTATCGTGGGAATTTCGAACGAGGAAGTGTCGCACTCGATGTCTCGTATCGTGCATCGTCCATTCGAAGAGTTGGAAGCGTGAATGTACAGGGAATGTCCCATTTAAGTTGAGATTGTACAAAATCTCGAAGATGTGTGATTTGATATATATGAAAAAAAAAAAAAATCCGACACATGTCCTTCGTTGTTTCGAGCGAGAATACTAATTTTACTGAGATTACTAATAGTTTTTTTTAATGCGCGGACGTTTTCCAGGTTACTTTAGGGTCATTTCGTCTTTGTCTTTATCGTAATCCGATATTTTATAACGATCTGCGCAACTTTTGCTCGAAACACGTTTTTGTAAGTTCGATGTTTCTTTGAAAAAACTAGTAGTAACTGTCAATAAAATACAGTCGAATTTGCGTTGACAATTAATTGGTACTTACTTTCATCGAACGATGTAACAAAGGGCCAGGGTATAGTAAAAAGAAAAGCTTTCGTCTTTTTTTTTACGCGTTCGTTTATTTTATAGGAATGAATAATACAGAGAAACTGATAATTAATAAATTACAAGAATATTATGTGCATTACGTCGTGTCGCTTTTATACAAATCGCTTAAAATAAACTGCGCAATCGAATTATTCTGTACAATTAACGCAGTCACAGTGACGATTTCCTTTACCGTAGACGATATCGTAGAGTTCAACCTTTAATTGCGTTTATATCAAATATTATACAATATCTATTTACAAAACACAGCTTCTCGACAAATACCTGCAGTTGTCGCTAGGAGAAAGGCGATTTTAAGGCGATTTTAAGGCATCGAGTTAAGCGAGTTAAGAAGGCACCGTGTCCGCCAAAATTATCGACCTATCTAGCTACGCTGGCTATGCTAGCTACGTCATGGTACAAATTCAATTCTCTGGAAAAAGAAGGCAATTTTGGAAGGCACTGTGGTCGTCGAGAAGTATAGATTCCTGGGTCAGGCCTACCTATGTTGAGTTGGATACGTAGTATACTGCAATTGACATCTGTGCTTGTTCTATGTGTGTGTATGTGTGTGTGTGTTTTTACAGATATTCGACTATATATCGTCCCTGAATAAAATTCACTATTACAAGGACATCTATTACATAAACTAGCACAGTTAACTTGTACACTTGCAATGATTAAACCGCAAATTTTACGAAGCATGCTATCATATAAAACGCGTAGAAAATAAAATTTATGAGTATTTCATAAATTATTATTTCATTTCTCACACGTAGGTATATCTGTATAGGTGTATATTTTTCAGTTCATCCTATTAACGTAAGCCATAAATGCACGAAATCCTCGGTACAGCGATTATTGTAGACGACGTTGTAATTCCACTCGTACGCACCTCGTTAAAACGTTTCGTACAAGACCAGATCCGAGTCTATCAACGAGGAGTATCTGTACGAGGGGCGGTTTTTGTAAATCTATTCGAACGATTGACGATCTTTATGTAACGGTAGCTCGAGGCACACGAATGTAGAACTATTAACACTGGTTATTATATTAACTATACTTAGACCCTATACGGTAAAGTCTCCTTAAATGCACAAGCTCGGGACTGAACTTGTCCGTTTATCGTAGAGTCGTAATAGGCTGTTAAAAAAAAAAAAAAATAATAATATACATCAGTAAATTCTAGTTTCGCACCAAGTCTGAGTTGGTGGCAGTCTAATGCAAACTCTGCTGGCAATAGCGGACGTACTTTCCAGTCTTATGAAACTCGAAATCGTTCAATGTACACAGGTTCGCGTTAAATTCCATTTTTTCGTCGTTTCTAATCGATAAGAAATTTCTTCACACACAAGTCCCACGACTTTCGGGGTAATCCGTAAGCTTAAAAAAGTTACCGATTGGTGATCGTGTTCCAAGATTCGAATAATTGCCACAACCCTTACCGTGCCGCTTCAACGGTCGCCCCTGTCCCCTTATATTTTCGTATTTCAGCCACGTTAACAAGAACTTTCAGTTTCGACAGTTTGCTAATTAAACTAAATTTAACCCTGCTGGTTCGATATTTATGCGTTTCAGTGTACTCTGCCGCACACTTGGGACTCTATTCCGCCTAAGTAAGGGTAACCGCTTTTGGCCTCGCTGGGACTGTGAGGCGCGATATGGTGGCTCATTCCTGTCGGGACCGGTACGCCTGACGTTGTACTCTGAGCCATGCACGCGCTCATATTTGTCGCGGTACCGACGCTACTGCCCAGGCTACCCAAGTTTAGGTTGTTACCGGACAAATTTGTGGCGAGGTTGCTGCTGCTGTAATGAGAGGCATTGAATAATCTGTAACAGAAAAATTGTATACATCTAGAATCGGTAGTACTAACGTTAAATACGTCTTATTACTATTATTATTAATATTATTGTTATTATTATTATTATTACTTTTGGTTTAATACGTTCACGCTGCTGTGAGACGGCGCGGTGATGCGCGCCGTCTAATAGACACGCGAGCGTGAGTCACCGGTGGCACACGCCGTCCGATGGGACATGTATAAATGCGAGCCAAATATTTTTATACACCTCGGCTATTAATGTGTCGTTGTGGCACAACCGAATCCGACCTGGCGATCAGACTTAGCCCAACATTTAATTTACGGGTTAGGCCGGCATTAGGACACGCGATGAAATTTTCAGAGTGAAATTTATCGGAAATAAATGGATACAGTGAATAAGTGTGATAGAATTTTGTCCATCGCGAGAGCCACGAGACGTTTTGTATTGTAAGTTAGGTCCGGGTTAAGACTGGATTCCTTCTTTCGTTAATTTCTATCGTTGGGAATTTAATACGGCACCATCGGGGATTTAAGGCGACCCTTTGAATGACAGTATTAAAATATTAATGCGGAGCAGTTTTAGCTTCATAACCCCCAAGATGAAATTCTTTTCGTTTCGAACCTCTCAAAGTTACCGCCGGCAACCTCTCTCTCTCTCTCTCTCTCTTTCTCTCTTTCTCTCTTTCTCTCTCTCTTTCTCTCGTTTTGCCTTGCAATCAAAGTGCACTGCTCGTTTGCAAGCCGATACCGTGCACACACACGCACAGGAGAAACTTTCACGCCGGTACACATACAAATAAGAATCGTTTAGGGCGTGTCGAGGCTGCCAACAACCGATTTCAAAACGGAGTAGCGGTCCTTTTGACCGTTTCGGCACAGCAGCACGGTTAAGAACCCTGAAACGCACCGAAACCATTTAATTCCTCTCTCCTACTTCTCTCTTCTTCTTCTTCTTCTTCTTCTTCTTCTTCTTCTTCTTCTTCTTCCTCTTCATCTTTCCCTTGTCTTCTTTTCCTTACTTTGACCTTTCCTCTTCTTAATTTATTTTACAAACGAGTGCAGAACCGGCGGAAGCTCGACGATTTATCGACTGTCCCCGTGACCGGTCTACAAATCTATTTCAACCTAGCAGCTACAAATCAAATTCACCTCTATACAACCGTTAATGAATTCTGGCCAAGTTGTTCGGGATCAACAATTTATAATCGACACGACGTTCGAAACGTAACTATTCCGCGCCCGCAAAAAGAAAGCCCAGATATCTCTACGCGTTTAATTAAGGTTCCTCGGAATACCGTGCATTTTGTTTCCACAAGTAATATACGTATGTTAATAACCACCGAGTATCACGCATTTTCTAATATTTTAACAGCGACATTTACTCTGCGATTGACGAGTGTACGTCGTTCGTTACGTCATCGACGACGCGTGTCGGTGCGCGACGCGTGTCGGTGCGCGCTCTAAAATAATGTTAATTAAATAAATGCGAGCCCAGATTCGAATCCCGACCGACCGTCCCCGGTTTTTTTCAAGGTACGAAAGAAAAGCATCGATGATCCCGAAGCTTAAATCTAAAATGAAGCGATACAAAAATGAAAATAATAAGAAACAAAATAAAGAAGAAAATCAGACCGCGAACACGTTACGCCGCAGAATGGAGGAAAAGTACGACAGACGATAGCGTCGGATCAGCTGGACGTATCCTAGACACGTTATCCTAGCGGATGAGCCGAGAAACGGCCGTCGAGTAAATGAAAAACTTGTCCCGGGAAATCGTTCGAATCTGTGAATGTTGAGGTCGCGCCGACGCTACTTCCGGGGTGAAGGAAAGGCCACGCGGTTGCCTTTGGAAGCAACTTTGAAAAAAAAAAAGGCTGGTTAAAGCTGGATCATCGAGGAAGATTAGCCGGTAGCGTTTCATTACGGGGGCCCGAGAAACAACATAATTGAGGACCACACAGAAAACGTGTCGGCGAAGCCCCGCCGCGCCGCGCTCAACCAACAACTTCTCCTTCTCTCCCGTCTCTTTCTCTCTCTTAGAAACCTTCAATCTTATTTGTTCTCTCGCCTTTGCTACCATTTTACTTCTCGCGTTTCTGCGCTCTCGGGTCTTCGATTACACGAATCCGCCGTCGTTTGAAATTTTCAACTTTATTTCCGCAGAGGATGGGAAAATAATCGCCACGGTCGATTGGTGAATTCGACGTAACTCGGAACCTGGAAGAAAACGCGCGACCTAACCCAGCCTAGTTCGGACCCTGATCCAGACTCCGAATGATTTCCCGGGTACGACGAGTATCTTAAAGTTTCTATACATACATAGCCAGTAAAGTATTCGATTTCGTTCGCCATCGTCGTTCTCCGACTTCGTAGTTCGTACGTTTGCAGAGATGCCCGCACCGGTTGAGCATGTAACGACACACCGCGGCAGGCCGAGCATTTCGCCAACCTGTTATTACGCCACAATGGCTGAATTAATTGTTGGAAACACCCCGAGAGAACAGAAGGCGCAGGTTTCCGACTCTCGAGACCGTACCTCTTCGTTTTCTCTCCACTTTCCTTCCGCGCGTTGCTCCCCGAGTGATTTGTCCGGTTTAAACGTCCGGGATAATCTATCTCTACCTGGACAACGTACGCTTTGTTTCTACACCGGCCTCGCCTCGTGGAGGGTCCAGTTCGCGTTTAGAATGTTGATGGAATCAACGTTCGTTCGCTCTTGTTCCTGTCTCGAGAAGTTAGCGCGAACGTAACCTACCGCTGTTCAGCGATTTTGTCGCCGCGCGACTATTTAGTACCATCGCGCCGTACGAGTCCTGGGTCTCGGGTCATTTGAACCACCGTGGCGTCGATTAGGTCAATGTTCGCTTGATTTAGGTTGCTTGATTTGGTCTTTGCTAACGACGCGAACGGTTGAATTTTGTCAAACTTACCCATAATTCTCGGTCGGCCTTGGCCACTGTTGTTGACTGGCATAGTAATTCTCGGTATAGTTGTAGTGCTGAGGATAACCAGACGTGGTCGTTGCCGCTCCGACCACCGTCGCTTGGCCGTAGGTCTGATAAGTCTCGGCGCCGCCGTAATGTTGAGTTTGAAACGACTGCAAGCTCATCGTATTGAACGCGTTCAATTGCTGGCTGTTCAACTGCTTGCGAAGCCTGGCTCGTCTGTTGCTGAACCAAACTTGCACGCGTGCTTCCGTTAGGTTCGTTCTGGAATATCAGCAAGAGGAATAACTTTCGATTAGACGAGGAGCGCAGAAACAATATTGCCGTAGGAGAGCTACGTACATGGAGGTTAATAACTTCAAGTTATCAGCGAGAGCTAAAAACGATAGTCGACAACGAGAATGAATTACTTGGCAATCGGTCCACGTAAATCGAATCGTGTTCAAAATTTCGCTATTCTTCTTTAGAAAAATCCCCCGTTAGTTGTCGAGCTCTACCAGTTCGCCTAACGAAGCTGTATCTGCCGTGTATCGTCGGGCAAAGTTCCCGATTACATTTAGTCTGTCTTAAATTACTCGGTAGATCGATAATATGTTTACTTTTGAGCCAATTCCTCTCTGGTGTAAACGTCCGGGTACTGGGTTCGGTGGAAGGCTGCCTCCAATTGTTCGAGCTGTTCACCGGTGAAGGTGGTTCTGCTTCTCCGTTGTTTCCTCTTCAAGGCAATCCCTGGCTCGCTTTCGGTCTCCGAATCGTCGCCGCTACTTCCACCTGAAACATCGAACGTGATCGCGTTGGTGAGTATAACGCTGTATACAATAGCGAACAAATGGCGAAGACTGGTGAACATATACTTCGTGTCGCGCGCGCGCGCGCAACGATCTAGATGCGGTATAGGTACCCGATCGAATAAAATGATTCTCGACGCGGAAACCTATCAACGATAAATGAAAATATGGATCTCCGAAACGTCGGACGAGCGACGAGCTTTCGTTTAGCTCGTGTGGGACGGGACATGTCAAAGAACTTAATTTCTTCGCGGCGAACCCTAATTTCGCCAGTGTTTTAGTTTAGTATAGGTTCGGCTGGCATGGCTGTAATCAGAAGGGTCTTAATGGTAGGTTGGCCAGTCCAGCGTGTGAACTGTGGGCGGGAACGACTCGCTTCCTACCTTGGGCATCTGACGTGCAGCACGTGCTGCCCTGGACGACCTTCTTGCCGCCGCTATTAAGAAGCGTGCTCGGTAACATCTCTTGGATCTCTCGGGTCTCTTCAACATTTTACCGTAGATTTCTTTCCTCGATAACAGCCCTCGCTCGCGTGCTTCGAGGAATTTCCAATTTTTGCTCTCCGACACCGCTAAACGCCATTTCCATAATTAATTTACGGGACGGTGCTTAATTAGCCAACGAATATTCTTTCCTACGTAACACTTTCCATTACGCGCTCCTAAATGGAACAACCGCTGGAAGACACCGTGATCTCTGTCACTTTACGCGCGATTCTCTTTTGTTTCGTTTCATTTCATTTCATTTCATTTTATTTTATTTTATTTCATTTTATTTTATTTCATTTTATTTTATTTCATTTTGTTATATTTTGTTATAGGTACTTTTTATTATTTTACATATTTCGACGATAGATTAGTCGCAACGACCAGCCACAGCGTGTTACTACAGCGGCGAAGGAAATCTCGATAAGTAAATCGTCGAAAAACCGTCTAAACGATTATTAGCGAGAGTAACACTTTAGATCGATGAGAATATCTAAATCAATAGAGCTGTTCCTCGAAGGAAACTGCAGGTTGTCTCTAGTATTGGCGGTTTACAAGATTAAAGGCAGCACGAGAGATCATGAGAGACCACACGCCGCGACCGAACGCCCTCTTCCTTTCTCCTTTCGCACTCGCTTCTTGTTCTCTTCGGCAGCGATCGCAACAGTGTTCGTATAACCGTACGTATTCGTACGCTATTTATATTAATTGTTTGTCTGTATTATTTGTTTTACGTTAACAGCTAATGGGAATAGAAAAAAGAAAGTGTCGAGATTACAACGACAAAAATCTGCGAAACTTCACAAGAAGATATTCAGTGGGTTACTGTAATACGAACAAATTTTCGGCCGAACCGAAGGTGGTCGAAATGGCACAATTAGTTATTTTGTTTCTTCGCTCCTTCGTATCTTCGTTTCTTTATTGCTTAACGGGAATAAAGATAAATATAGAATAAAGATAAATTGTACCGAGGATAATTTAATTGATAACGAGACGAAAATTTCAGCAACAAACGGCGCAAACCGATCGACTAAGCCGCGTTCTAGACGTATACCTAATCAAAACTAAATCTTCTCGACATGGCAATAAACTCGACACATCCACGCACCACGGGACGCCTAATATTTCTTCTTGGGCCTCGCTGCAGCTTCTAAATAGAAAGAAAAGAACTCCCTTTATATCCGCCGCTGGGATCTATATTCCAGTTAATCTCTTCCTGTTCTTCAAACCGTTCAGCTTTGAAACATGCCAAGATGCCATTGCCGAAGTATTCAGCTCTCGAGCAAGCAATTCTCGACGCCATTGTCAACGTTACATTATAAGTATACCCGAGAGGAATGCTTGGCAAATGCTTTTCTCCTATTATAGAAATTTTTCTAATACCTATATAGGTCTTCGAACAACTTGGCAGTCGTAGCCAAGCTTGCGAGTCTTCGCTCGAGCTTCGTTTCGGTCGCTGACATCCAGTTTTTCAATTTTACAATCGTTCGCAGTTTCACGGACAAGATCGGATACAAGTCTTCGATAATATTGCGATCGAGTTACGAGTATTGACGAATTGATCGTTGTACGAAAGAAACTGAAAATTGTATGCCATTTTTTTCTCCCCCGGCTAGCATCGTTTACGGTTACGGTTACCTTAACGCAATTAACTTAACGTCGCTGCACTCTATAATTATGCTTATCGCGCGATTACCTCGACCGTTTCATTTACACCAGCCTAATGGCTTATGCGGTGCTAAAACAGCGATCCTGTTCGCGAATTTTACGTGTATCGTTCGTGAAAATCTCTTTAAACGGTAGCTCATCGATTTCCCTGTCGGTCCGTTCTTTGACGTACATTCCTCGTGTGCGATACTCGACACCGTTAACGTGCATACTGTCTGAGTACGTTTGATGTAGTTCTTGCTAAACAACTACGACGACTACGATAAAAAAAAAAAAAAAATCAGCCCGTTCGGAGCTGATCAGCCCGTTTTTTTTAACCTCGACCAAACTCTTCGAGGACGTCCGTGATTCCTTGAAACGTTCAAATTTCTTCCGACAGTTCTCATCCGCTTTCGCGTGGGTAACTCGTTAAAGCATCGCTAATCTATATACGCGCGTAGCATTTAACTAAAGAAATCAACCTAACTCACCAAGTATTCCGTCGATAGAATGATTTCTTCGGGGATCGTCGCCGGGACGAGTTTGATTCGTAGGTCCGCGAAGGAGCCTCGAGATACTGGAAACCGACGGCGCGGACGCCTTATCACAGACACCATCCTGCTGGCAGAACCACATTGGACTAGTTAGTATAACAATGAAACCTAGCAAAATCTTTTCTACGCGTCACGGTCGAATTAACCGACGTGGAAAGTGTCGCAAGAACAACAAGGCCCGCCTTCTTCCACGCGTTCCTATTCTACGATATCGATCTTATTATTATCAGCCCGGACAAAGCGTGATTCTAGATGAGAAAACAAGAAAAAAAAAAAAAAAAAAACAAAAAATGTTCCCACAATCACTCGTGACAATTACTCGTCCGTGGCTTCGTCAATCAAGAAAATCGATTGTTCGCGTAAATCGATAAACCGATTACAAGCGCGAGCATCCTTCGGGATCTCTCATCCGGTATTTCGTTGTTATTAATTACCAACGGGCATCAACAGACCTTTATCAACTTTTCCCGAATTTCCCAGCTGAATATTCCAGGATTCTGTTTCTTCATGTCTTCGATTTTCGCCTCGACTTCCGGCGTGGCGATTCTAGGCTTACTGCCGCCGATTACACCGGGCCTGATCGATCCTGTCTCTTGATATCGATTCAGAATCTTCGACACGCAGCCGTGCGATACTCTTAGCTGCCTGGAGATGACGCACGGTCTGATACCGGCACCCGCCATTTCCACGATTTTCAGTCGGATGTGATTCGGCAGTGGACGTCCGTTGATGAACACGCCACCTAGTTGATTAACGCGTCCTTGCCCTGAAAGAAAACGAACAACTCTGTATGTAATACTTTGCCATAGACGACGTCGATTGATCCTTTGCACTCGAGAGGCGACTCTCGGTCACCGTTAGCTTTCACGCAGCGAATCTACGATATTTCATGTTTCTTTAGGTTTCATTACTTTGGAGCTCCAACTGTCAATAAAATGACTGTCGGCGAGGTAAAGGTGACGTTATTCGGAAATCTAGATAGCTTCGAATCCAATAGAACGCTAAGAAACATTTCGATTTGCTGGCAGATAGCAGAAAAAAAGGCTACGAGTGCAAAGGGTTAATAAATACGCCTAATTGAATTTCCGAACACGACGCTCTTTGAAACAGTGAGGAAACGATGGGCGTGTTATCCGGTGAGAATTGACCGTGCAAAAAGCGTTGCTTTCCAAAGAAAAAAGCAGAGCAGAATAGGATTAAACGAAAGCGTCCGGTGAAAAATTCGAAACTCGAGTGGAACAAGTGGAATACTTTCCAGGAGAGGTCTAGAAGGATCAAAAAGCCCGGTAGCACGCAAACCTTCGCTCAAACGGCGCTAATTACCGGTAATTAGTCCCCCTTTTAATTAAGTTAATTATAATTACGTAGTCAAACAAACGGCGTCACACGAGCGTCAGCAAAATCCGAGAAAAAAGGCCTCCGGGGCCCAGAACCTAACCCAGAAGGAGGAAAGAACCAGAATAATACGCGTCTCGGTAATAGCGGGACTCTTGCCCCTTTTATGATGTCCACCTTGGAAGGAACTTGGGAGGTGTCACGAGTTATGGCAGCTGGTTTTGCACGGAGCAGTAAAACTCGCCGGGATCTGGTAACTCTTCTCCTGAAAACCCATGTAAAACAAACTTCCCTCGAGGCACGCTAGCCGGAACAATGACCGTCGATTTGAATTTGCATAAAGGACGGTTTGCATGACAATCGCGAGCACGATTTGCGCGTGTGTTGCGCCAACTTTTGAATAAATTATTTTCTACTCGTTTACGTGGACGGATAAGCTCCGTTTGTACGGCGTTCGAACCGATCCCGATGAAAACGGATTTCCACGTTTTCACCGAGCGGAACGAAAGGGTACGAGGCGTTGGATCGGCCGATATTCCGATGTAGGTGGTATTCTAATTTCTGAAAGTAGGATTACGAAAGTTCAGAAGAAAGTTACTGAAACTTTGCTTGTTCGAGTGGAATCCAGATGCAGCAAATTTTACGTACAAGGCATATCGGGACCGAGTAAGATACAATTTACGAGTAAATTTAAGAACGACAAGGATAGATGTTGAGTTGATCTTAAGGTACAGTTCGGTTCGACGTTAACGTGTGGTCTCTGGGATAAGTCAGAGTTACCGGTTAAACTCCGGTAAAACCAAGGAGAAAATAGTCGAGCAAGTAATAAGCTCGTGGTTACACGTGTTCGTTGCAACTCGCAAACACCTGCCATGAAAACTTGGGCTAATTATCACGGCGTAATTCAAAATGTACTCCCCCTACTCGGTCCCGAGTGCTGCCAAACAAGTCTCGTTTGGTAATTCATCAAATCCGCAAGATTTACATTCCCCCACCCTGCTGGAATCCCAATCGGCTGTAAGGACATATGCACAAACACGGAGCGGAGGGCTTATGCGGGGTTCGTCGCGTACGTAAGGCCCACGGACACCTTTCATGACGTCAGTCAGGCCGCGGGGCCCGACGGGATTACAGGCAAGATCAAAAGGCGCCGACCGCCGCCGCCGCCGACGACGACGACGACGACGACTCGATCACTCTTCCTCTCTCTCTCTCTCTTGCGCGTGCGCGCGACCCGGGCGCGAGAGAGAGGGGAGTAGCGATAGGCCCAGAACGGGTTCGAGGCGAAAGGGGGCCCTGTAGTCACGGGGTGGGCCTACATAGCTCCTCGGGCCCGACTTCTCGGCCGCGACAATACGTGAAATTCCACGTAACAGACCCCCGTGCGCCATTACGAAACGCTGGAAACGCGAACAAACGGATTAATCCTCAGTCGGTGGCCCGTTTCATCCTTGCCTCGATCTCGTTCAATGGCCGTAGACAGACGCGAACAGGCCTAATCCACCGCCACCCGACAACTATACATTTGCAGAAGATTATTTAGCCGAATTAAATCTAACCGGCCACACGAATAATTCATATCTACGCCCTCGTTCATAAATACGCGGACCCTTACTACCTTCCATGAATAACTAATTACACGATGTAAATTATTACTATACAACTTTTCTTGATAAATTCTATACTGTACGTGTATTTAACAACATTTAATAATATTCAATGTTTTTACTGCTGCATTCAATTTTATAGTGGCACTACGGGGTCGTTTGGAACGTTCAATATATCGTAAACATTTATAGCGAAAATTTGTGGGATATATATCTAACGCGAAGAAATCGAACGAGATAATATTGCTTCGGAGAAATTGATAGAATTAATTCCCAGTTTGGTAAAAGAAATTTTAACGTTGTCCTTTATACGAGACACCTTTCTTGGTATCTTCTTGGTTCACGTACCCGTGCCGAACAATCGAGATTTTTTATCGACAATATCGAAAACAATCGTAACTCGAGTCACGAGCCTGAGCGTTCGACTCCGAGAACAGAACTTCGAGCTACGTTTTTACTCTTCAAACGTCAAGGAACGCCCGTCAGAGCGGCTTGCAAATTGCGAATTACTTTGTGCATTCTAAGCAATCGGCATTATTTAAGCCATATTTACCTCGAAATTGCTTCTAGTTACATGAAAACATCGAGAAGCAAAACAATCCGCGAAACAGAGAGACTATTTTAGCTTTAGCTCGGGTTTCTCGCGTTTATTAAATATCCTCGTGTCTTCGCAATACGAACTGAATAGCGAAACGAGTCTTTGGAAGAACAAATTTCCGCTAAACAGGCCACAGATATTTACCCAACGTATATTTCGCCGTACGAAACTCGAGGTTTTTACCTGTAGAAGAAAAGAATATTTTCTGATTAACCACGAGCATTCGAATGTTCCGTGATGATAAACATTCCATGAACGATACGTAGACTGGATTAGAATAGACCTAACGTAGATCAAACAATAATTTGTACTTGTAGGAGTATCGTGAAACAACAGTTTACACGCAATTTACGATAAACCAATAATATATCGTTGCAATACAATTTTCTTGCAATTTTCTTGCGATTTTCTTGCAAGTTTCTTGCAATTTTTCTTCGATGTCATTTTAAACAAGATCGAGTGTCCAGTTTTCTTCGATCGAAAGAATGATTTGTCCAAGCCTTTAACAAACGAAATATATATGTACAACGCCATCAAATTTGTAGGTATCGATGTCAACCAATTATTATTATTATTCTTGAAAGCGTCGCCCGAAGGATAAAATTAAATCATTCGAGTTGCGTCGAACGAAGTCAAATCGGGGCTTCCCCTATCTCTTCATATCGGCGCGATCATGTATATTAGCGTGAGCGCCCACAATCAATTACCCGCTATCAATAATTCATGTTGAAAATTATTTTCTCAACCATTCCAACCACCTCGGTCGCCATTTATTTCTGCTACCGGGTGGTCCTCTTCGTTTTAGACCAAACACAGACTTGGTGAATATTTCGATCTTTCGATTTTATTCTTCTGAATTATTACGAATAAAAACGTTACAGATAATTATTTTCCGACACGGAAGAATTCTCGATCGAACGAAAATAAGACGAGCAATTTTTACTTGATTTACTCGAATTCGTATAATGTTAAAATCGAAGGAGAGGTAGCTCTATTTTTTTCAAATTTTCCTCCTTATTGCGCCACAAAAAAAAAAAAAAAGAAGGAATACGTTTCACATCTGTAATTACGTTCTGTCCTCAAAATGATAAAAAAAAAGGAGCTGGCGCCTGATTGCAGCACACCCCTCAATTGTCGAAATTCTGTGTTGGATTCTTGACTAGATCCGGATGTGTCTTTAATAAATTATTAACGCGGAAAAGTAAAGGTATGCGAGTGCCGGCGTGATTGTTCGTTATATGCCGCCGACGCCGATGCGGACGCGACGGTGTTGAAGGTTTGCATCAAGTTTGCGTTAAACTTCGGTCAGGACTCGGCTAGTTCCTTTGTTTCTACTTTGGTCAAACCACCGATACAGAGTATAAACCTTCGAATGAACGTTTCATTGTTCTAATTAATTTCCGCGTGGAACACTGTTTACTTTATGCCGTTCGCGTTTGACCGCGTGTTCCTTCGTGAATCAGTAGGTGACTGTTGCAGGTGGTCCTTCGTTTTCTGTAACCCGAATGTTTCCGCTCCTAACGGTTTGAATTTCGAAATATCCTTTCTTATTCCTTGTATATAAGGAAAGTTACAAAGGATAGTTTCCGTGGAAAATTTCAGCTTTCTAGGTTCTACGGTTCAGCCGAGACGTTGATTGTCGTCAGTCAGGGCTTCATTCTTACATCCATACGTACATAGAAGATGCAATGGTAGAATTCGCGATACCACATTTCGTTCCCTTTCTTTCCGTTCAAGTTTCTCGATGATACCACACGGCTTCGTTTCACTATTTTCAATTTTCTGTTTCGGAGACGTTACGGTGCACCGCGATCCGTTCGTTTGATATCGAATCGTCGTGGATAGAATTCGTCGAAGGAAATAATTGCTATATTATTATTAATAATTGCAGATTCGAATCGGAGATCTGATAATAAAACGTTCTGATAATAAAACGTTCTGATAAAACGTTCGCATAACGGGTGTTCGTATAACGGAGGCTTTACCGTATCTACCGAACAAGAAAAATTGTTCAACGCAGCCTCGTAAAACAAACAACTCGTTAACTGGCTCGGTGATACAATCGCTAATCAATCATTAATCCCGTTCGTTCGGAATATTCTTCGTAACTGCATGATAAATGGGGGGGGAATTGCGCAAACAATGGGGTCGATGAAACCGTGGTTGCGTCGATCGGCTCCAGCGGCCTGATGAAAAGTCTGGGGGAAAGAGCTAAGCGGAGAGGAGAGGAGAGAGGAGAGGAGAGAGGAGAGCAGTGGAGAGGAGAGGAGAGAAGAGGAGAGGAGAGGAGAGGAGAGCTGGGAGAATGATGAACCCTGGCGCGGTACCTGACCACGAGAGGGAATGTCCATATAGGCGAAGGGGATGCATGTATTTAACGTTCGGTGTGAGTTCCGAGTTGGCAAGGCTTCAATCAACGTGCCGTCGCTCGAGGCCTATCCGATATCAGACATTAGGTACCCATGGCTCTGGCTACGTAGTTCAACTCTTTCGCGTAGCCAAGTGGACGCCTACGAGTGCAGATCTTGCTTCTTTTTCGATTAAACCCAAACATTCATTCTACCGCGTTGATTACGTTCGAGGCAATAACGCGACACAATCGCGTCAACGAGTCGCGGCGCGATAACGCTTTACTAAGAAACAACCCAGACCCTAAATCAAGCCTGACATCCCGACGGTAGGCCCAACCCATGATATAAACCCACGATATAAACTCGTGATATAAACTCGTGATATAAACCCATAATATAAACCCATAATATAAACCCATAATTTAAACCCATAATTTAAACCTACACCAGACGCAACCGCGTTTCCCTATCGTTCGAATGGGAAACCAAATCAAACCTCGAATCGGACCAAAACTTTAATCCCGACCGAACCTAACGCAGACCCGACTCTCCAACCTGCGAACCTTGCGCAACTTTCGCTACCGATTTCTTTGAAAACTCTGCTACCATCGAACATTTACCGTAACAACGAGTCGCGTGCAATGTTTGCTTTATACAGGTTGTCTCTGATTCAAGCGTCGAGAGTTGGGAGCAGTTGAGAGCAGGTAGGGCACCGATAAACTAAGGAAAAAGGTCTGGTTACCGCTCGAATTGCAGCTTTGTTCGAATTGACGTTGTTCGCGGTTTATTTCGTGTTAAATCTGCATCAGGGAGCGCTAAAATTTGTAGTTTGTTCAGCTTATCACGGTTCACTGGGGAGCTACTAACTATTCGCTCTCCTTATTCGCTGTTATCTTATTCCTTATTTTTTCGCCCTATACTTTTTATCCATATTTCATACTTTTTGTTAACACGTTCGCCGCCAGACTAACGCCCTCGAACGTTTCTACTGCGGTTGAATTTTGTTTACAGACTTTCGGATACCGCGTAACGAAACGTTTATTTTTGTGTTTGGTTCCGTAACTTCATCGAAATTCAAGTATTTCGTTTAAATTCGATTTCTACGACGCTTAACTTTCAGAGTTAATAGTTTTCGTATCTCAGCGAAAAGCACTGTCACCCATATACGGCTGACGCGGCGATCAACGTGTTAAAAGCGATTCTGTGAACGTACAATTTCAATTTCACTCGCGTCGGAATACAGGTAATTATCAATTGAAACAATAATGCATCGAGTCGTGAACGTTCGTAGACGTTTCTCTTCGGAGTAGAGTTTTTGGGTTTCGCAGAAATTTCTTCTAAAAATGGACTGGATTTGATTCTATGGAAAAATGCCTCGACCCGAATGCAAACGGTTAATTTCAAGTGCCAATAAAACGACGGTCGTTGAGGCAAAGGCGACCTGAATTCTCGAATCTCAAATTAGAGATCACGTTCGAGAGGTCGATATAATCTTGGCATTCGTGGCAATAGAATCCCAAGAAAGCATCTCGAGTTGCTAGCGGATACCAGAAAAAAATGGCCCCGAGTGCAAAGGGTTAATAGTGCGTCGTCGAGAACCGTTGGCGAACATTCAGTCGGCCGGCGGACTTTGCGGAAGTCGGTCGTTCCGAAATGAATTAATCTTTGCTACGGATTCGTGTTAATCTATCTAGAACGCGCACGAACATTGAAAAATAAATCCGTGTGCAAGAGTTGGGCTCGAGTTAGATATAGGTTAAATCTTTTCGCGCATTTCTATCATCGTTCGTCGTTCGTCGACGACAGAAATATCTCGGGACGAAGATCGATCCGTTTGTTTGGCTTCCCAGGGTTTAGTTTCGATTAAATCTGCATCAGGGAGCGCCGAGATTTGAATCGCTTCGGAGATACTACGTAGTTTCGTTCCGAAGGTAGGCCTAGATCAGTTAGGTCAGGTTTGGAAGACTGTTCCAGTAAATTAGTCTTTGCATGCGTGCATGAAACTCGAAGAAGATAATGCAGAAACTGTTCCGTGGGTTACCTTGAAAGGGATATCCAGTGAAGTACGGTGCCATATTCAGAGTACTAACTGCCATCTAGCCAACAGATTTCGTCCTCGGGAGTCTTCGCACGATGAGACGATTTCGATGGTTTTATTCGAACCTAGCGAAATTAACTGTAATCACAATTCGCGCGAACGAGTTCCAAGAAAAATGGTCGAAAACCGGTCACCGACAGTCTTTGGCGCAACAGTTCGGTTCTTTATTAATCGTACAAGCGCCTGAAATGATCACCGATCACACATCACAATTCGGACAGCGGTAGTAATACCTGTAGCAATGGACGAACAAGCTTGAATTAAAACGGCCCCGAGAAACAACAACAAGAACAAGGACAGTTGGACGAATTCTTTATTTCGACTGGTTCGAGTTGGATCCGATCACAGGTCACGATTGGAACGACACTAAAAACCGCACTGAACCAGCGCGAATCGTCCCGGGAAACAAGGATAGTCCAGTTCTGTCTCGCGGTTAGGCGAAATTTGCTCTCGATCGCTAGTCGCGATTCGAACGGCACTAAAACGGATCGCGGTGGAAACGAGCACGGAATAAAATGGCCCGGAATGGTCCTCGATAACCAAACCGACTTAGTCAGGGGGACGGTGAGGTCGAGTCGAAACGACAGAAACAGCGACCTGTTTGCTTCGAGGTCTCGACTCCAACTGTTGGCTCGTCGAACAGAACCCTGGCAGAAAGGGAACAGCGACGAAAAGAAAGGAAAAGAAGAGTATCCTGAAAGGTAAGAAGGCTCCGCCCTCCTTCTGGGGACCGTCAAGGAGGGATATCTGGGCTGAAAAGTGTTCTTAATGGCTCCAGTCGAGATTGGTCACTTGGAAGGTGGTCTGGGTTTACTCCGGGATAGGTGGGGATGTTCTTTGCACTGGCTCCGCCTGGCCGACTCCCAGCCTTTAGCACCCTCCACGTATCTCCCCGAGCCTTTGCGCTTTTTAATTCTCCACTGCAAGTGAATATACGTACGCGAATATACGTACGCGAATATACGTACGCGAATATACGTACGCGAATATACGTACTGCGAGATAGGAAGGTATTTCGAACGGTCTTGAATAAAGGAAAGGTCTCGCGGTTGGGAAAGGGAGTCGCGCTAGGAATCGTAAAACAATTGTACAATTTTAATGGTACGCGAATATATCTCGAGTTACGAATATATATTTTTAATACACATTCGCAGGAGACTATTTAGCCGAATGAAAGCTCAGGTCTAACCGGTGACAACCCGCGAATAATTCATATCTGATTCATGCACCATCGTTCATAAATACGTGGACACTTACTACAATGACATCAAATGTGACAGTCCCAAACTTGGGACACTTTTAATCTCCAATTCCAAACTTGGGACACTTTTAATCTCCAATTTCATCCCGTAGACGAATAAGTACTTCGTCGCTTGAAATCGTTGGAATACTTTCGATGTTTACAACGATTAAGCACGATTACGTACGAACGTTGCTCGGAGGATCCATAATATCCTTTCCGAGATCGACCATTGGTCTCGGTTGCCATTTTATGATTTACCGCATCGCGGATCACCCGTTCGCACCGATCGAAATTTCTCGATGATCGAACTGTTTTCACATTCGTCGGTCGAGGACGTTGAAAATAATTCGAAAATTATAATTAACGATCGTCCGTCGTTACCAAATCGACGATGCGCGTTTATCGCGTGCGTCGCTTTCTATTCCGTTCGAAATGAAAATTGTTCGTGTAATCACTTTCGCGATGATATCTTTGGCATTTGTTTTAACACGCGGCGTTCAAGTAGTTCGTTCCGATGGGCGGTACAAAAACATGCGTGGAAACAGAACCAATCGAAAGGCACAATTTACCTCGACTCCCCTCTTTTAAAGGCTTCCCTCTGCAACCATACACATGTCCATTACCGTATTCCTAGGTTCGCGTTCGCGTTAAAGATGGCGGACGGTAAACATGGCGTCCGTAACGATACGCTTAAACGGTAACGAAGGTTTTGCAATCTGAACAAAAAAAAAAAAGAAAAGAAAAGAAAACGAAAACGAAGCAAGGAATCGGTCGAATCGTTGCTTTTTAATCACCTGGTTTGTCTACTTTTTTAGTTACTTAGTTAGACATGGGTCTCGCACGACCCACGTGATTCTCGACCTCCCGGAAAATAACGCTAATCGATCGATCAGAGATTTACGTCATCCTTACGTTCTCCTAAATGTCATTTGAGAGGTGTGCGTCGATTTCCGTGCTCCATTTTTCAAATTTTCCGAAAATTAAAGAAAGACGTTTTAAAATTCAAGTTTTTGAAAATGTCTTCCCTTTTCGTCTTCCTAATTGTGAAATTACGCCGTTCCGGATTCCATCCTTCGAATAGGTAACCCCGGCGTGTACCACCGGTGGGTCACGCTCGTGCGTCTATCGAAAGGCGTGTACCACCGGCGCCGTCCCATGGCGAGAGAAGCAAACAGCAGAGCCGAACTGACGCGTTCAGCCAAACGTAACACAAGACACAGGAGACAACTCTCTCGTTCCCTTTCAAGGCTCAAATTGGTATACGTATCTGGAATACTCGATACACCGGTATCGTACCGTACGTTCGTTACAAAACCAGACAAGATAAAAGCTGGATCGCGTGATCCAACCAATGAGATCGTATAAACTTCAGAGAGAGCCGCTTCGCCAGCGCGCAACCTGCCCACCACCGTGCCCGCGATTCGACTCGCATAGTTAATTAAAATTATTCGCGTCTATCGACTACTCGTGTATTTAATCGAATCGCGTATTCGTATCGATTATACGCGTTGGTCCGACTGGGATAGGATATTAAATCGTGCGATCTGGTTGTGGTGGATCTATCCAGGGAATCTTAGCTCTCTCTCTCGAGCGGTTTTATGTATCGTAGGTTAAAGCTGTGCTCGGTCTGGTTGACGTTTGCGTTTTACTCGAACGAAGTTTGATTAGACGCGTTCGCTCAAAATCTGTCGCGTTAATGTCGTCAGAGCGAATGGTCGCTTGTAAATATAGAATCGGTGGCTCGTAGGTGTAGAATTTCTGTTAGACTCGAGTCTAAGCACGAGCATCGGAAGATCGACATCGCAGAAATGGTGTTAATTGCGCGGAGATTAGACGTAACACGTCGGTTTCGTTGTCGCGGCTCGGGCTCGCCGCGTTTTTGCGAGAGCGGTGCATTCGTGTCCCTGGGGACTCGGCCTGTTTTCAGGGAGCGTACACCGGCGGGATAGCACGTGTCGTGATTGTAGTTTATGGGGAGCTGATTGCAGAAGCGTGGGACGATCGCGAGATTGTGGATGGGCCCAGTCGCTAGCCCTGTCGCCATTCACCGGCGCACTTACGTATCAGGCTGCGGTGTCAGTGTTTCGTTTCGTAATCATTAAGATATGCATTATCCCTCTAATGACGAGCAGCGCCGTGCAATGGCGTGTCCGATCGCGGAACCCGCGCTTCGTTCTTCGTTCAAGATGGCGCATAAATCTCGCATAAACAGCTTCGCTCGCGAGCTTTCAACTCTGATTAAGGCGAAACTATGTCGTAAACTGTATCGATCAGTCCCTAGCCTGGTTCGGAGTAAAGCTCGCGCCTGAAAAGTAATTCGGAATAATGATAACCTGATCCAGATTCTGACTCGCGTCAATGATCGGTAGAACGTTCATCGGGACCTTAGTGTATCTCTCTTTCGAGTCGAATCGACTTTTGCTTCCAGCGTTCGAATTCAAGCCGTCCTTCGGCGAATCAAATTTTGCTATCGAACTGTCGGGAGAAATTTCCGTCGCCGGTGAACAGAGATTTTTCGATTTCGATGCTCGGCTGTCTGTCCCCGAAGGGACCACCGAACAGTACCTCGAACCTTCCCAGAAACTTCAACCTGCCAAAATCTGCCATCTGCAGCTCGAATGATCAATCGGTCTATCGGGATTAAGGGAGCGAACCACTGGAACATTTTTTTACAAATCAATCTCTTGTTCGGTTACTTTTCTCGAAAGAATATATAGCCGTCTTCGCGATCCGATGTTGTTCCGCGTCGAATGGTGGAGTAGCGAGTAGCGTAGCCGACTACCACGCTGAGAGCTCGGCTTCGAGGATCCAGGCCATCCGCACCCCAGTTTTTGTTCAAGGTGAGTAATGGAAGGTAAGTAATAGGTAGGTAAGTAATATGTAGGTAAGTAATGGAAAAATACGGTAAAATAGGTCTCGTAAGAAAAAGCATCGGAAGTGTAAGCACTGTATCAAAAAGGATGCGCGGACCTTTGAATGACCTTCGAAAAGAGGACGCCGATCGGCGTTAAAACGAAACGACTGCGTTATCATAGTCGATACGCGAAATACTAGCTACCCTCTCGTATTGATACGTATTTCAAAGAATTCCTCGCTCCACCCCCACCGGAATGAAAGTTTCCCGTCAGGAAAATTTCCCATTCTGATCGAACCTTTTGAAAACTTCACCTCGTCCAAACATGCGCGATCCGTCACAGTCACTCTTGACAAAACCTGAAGCTCGTACAATTAATCCTTGTAAAAATCACGCCCATCGACTCGTTGCGAGCAAATTGTTCGGGACTATGGAGCACTATGGAGGCACCGGTAGGAGGGTAAACTGTCTCGACTGTGCGACACCGAGAGACTTGTCAAAATACATTAATACATGAGTAATGGGTACCAGCCACGGCCGAAAAGGGGTGAAATGACAACGATTAGGTTGTTCGTCATCCCCTGGGAGTGCTTCCACGACCAGCTCGTTTCACGAGATTTCGAATAGCGGAGACGAGAACCTCCAGGGACCACGAGGATGTTTAAAGAAGGTGCAGAGGTTTGGTTGTCGAGGTGCGAAGGAAGTTAAAGTAGGAAATTTGTTCGTGTCGCGTTGACATCTGAATCGTGTTCTTACAAGTCTTCAACTGATAGCGAAAGGTACGTGACGAAATTCCTCGTTACCGACCTCGCGTTCATTCGAGCTGCTTCTTTCGTACTATACCTTTACAATTTTATATTATTAATTCTATTATATTTACGAGTCTCTCGCGTGTCCAATTCATTTCTCACCCTCGATCGTTCCGAATCCTACATACGTATATTTAAAAACGCGTTTGTTCGTTTGTTCGAGGCAAGCGGCCTCGATGAGCGGCGAGATGTTCGGACTTTTTTTGGAAATGATCAGAACAGTCGTGCGTAGTATGCGTGTCTCGTCGGCTTTCTTTTTCTACCTTTTCGATGTTATATCATTAATTACATTACGTTTACAAGTTTCTCGCGTGTCTAATTTATTCGCCATCCTCGATCATCCCAAATCCTACGTACAAATGTCCTACATATATAAATTTTTTTTTTTTTATTGCAAATACACGAAATAAATTCTTCGCGTTCGTATTATTTCCTTCAATTTTGTTGGAATCTACATTGATTTTACAGCTAATTGAAATGATTAAAGTTCGTAGATTCGAAGTCGAATCGGTCGAAAGTCCAAAGAATTGAATAGGTACATCCGAGGGTGATGGATGGGTCGCATGCCGATGGTTCTTGTTGGCAGGACGGCTCATTAAAACGTGTTGGGCCCGAGTCGTGGAACCGACTCGCTTTTACAGCCTCTCGGTGAGCTCTAGCATAGTAAAGCACAAATGTGCGTGCGCGTGTGTGTGAGAAAGAGAGAAAGAGAGAGAAAGAGAGATAGAGAGAGAGAGAGAGAGAGAGAGAGAGGGGAGGAGGAGACAGAGAGTGCACGTTATCACCTGAGACGAAGGAAGAGGCGAGAGGAAAGAACTCAAGCCCTCGAGATCTTAGTCTGCAGTTAATTGCCAGCATTTAATGAGAGTTCTTTGACGCGCCGCGCGAACCGCTGCTGTAGCACTCGTAATGGCCGGTGCTTTTGTAACGACAGCCTTGTACCTGTGTACCAACTGGAATTGCCAATGTGGCCACTAAATGAAAGAAAATGGCCACGTATTATCGAACGACGCTGGTAAGTAGATGTATGCCGAAATACCGACGAATCTTCTCCAATAGAGATTATTAAAATGCCAACGATGCCAACGAGGCGAGCTTTCGTTTTACGTACTTTACGTTGTTTTATGTATCGGTAAACGATTTCGGTACGACGAAAGCTAGAAAGAATGGTATATTATCGTCTCGAAATAAGCAACTCGGTATCCCATCTTTTCGTTTGAAGTCGTCCGCCGAGATCCGAAAAGAAGCGAGAGGTCCGCGAAAGCCGAACAGATTAGTGGAAAGAGCACACAGAACACGCGTAATGTTTTCTCATTCTCTGGATAAACAACTCGCCGATACCGACAGATTTGCTTATTTCGAGACGATAACGTGATTATCTATCCGGGTTATCGGCAAACGTGCTACTTCCCGTTTCCCGTTTCCGGAGTCTCCCGATTCGCATGGTATTCGAAACATACTAGCTATCTCGCCCATCGACAACCTGTTCCGCACAATAACACTGGACCACACGCAGTCGACATGAGTCAAGTAGGCAAAGAGACCTCTTCTCTTCCTCCATCGACCCCACCTTTCAACGGAAAACCGGGACGCGACGCGACGTTCCTTCACAATTCGGTTCATCGACAATTGCCACCAGTAAATCAACGTGGCGGTACTTTTGTGGGTTTGTCAAAGTCCGGGGAAGAATGGCGATGCGGTCACAGCAAAGCTTTGCTCCCACGCCGCCCCCATTGTGACGGCTCCCATTTTAGTGGCGAGTACAAACGCTTACATCGAGGTGTAAATGTCAGCAACGAAAAGAAGAGAAACTGGGAGACGACCCTTCCTGTTTATCCACCCCGCGCTTCCCCGCGATTCTTTAACTACGTCGCTGCGGTTTTTTATTTCTGCTTGTGCCGGGTTACTTTTAAATTGCTTCGCGAAGCTTTGTTTCGCGAGCTTCACACTCGGCTAGAATAATCGGGCATTGTCGAACGCTCGAAATAAGCGAGCGGTTCGAATAAATCGTTCGATGCGAAAGAAAGATACGGATCGAACAGGTTGCCAGGTTGTTTCACACCTTGCGAACGGAAGCATTTTTAACCTTGACACAGCGAACGCAAGGTATATTCTTTATTTGTATCAAAATATTGTACTAACCAACCAGCTTTGAGTATTTTTGTAACAAGTCCCAGAGGAATGAGCAGTACCATAAGTGTTCAAAATTATCCTTTATTGTTCATTAAATTCGTTCGAATCGTATGTATATATCATATACATATGATTCGAATATATGTATTTCCATGTACATACATATAAGATACATACAAGAGCATATAGGCAAGATATTATACTAATCAACCAGCTTTAAGTATTGAATGGGATGCATCATTGTCTCAGAGGAACGAGCAGTACCACAATTGTTAATAATTAACGGTTATTATTCATTAAATTCATGCCAATGAATTATTTCCATATATAAGAGCATATAGGCAAGCTAATGGACCCACGAATAGTATTGCCATCTCGCGGCGGGCCCCGAACTAATTTTTCCCATGTATTTACATTTTTCCTTTTTGGCTGCGTATTCTTACATTTTTTACATCGTAATCACTGTACCTTACGATATTTCAACCTCTAATTGTTCATTTGCACACTAACAATTGACTAATTTTATGTTTTTTAAATTAACAAAAATACCCCCCGAAAGTGGCGCCATCTCTCGGCGAACCCTCCAAGTTTCACGTGAAACAGTTTCCGCCTCTCGCCGCTAGATGGCGCCCCCCAAGATGAAAATATTCAAAACCTAAATCACGTACTTTTCTACGTATATAAATGTAATTTTACATTCTAACTGTCATATATCGACTAACGAATGCCTATTACGTGCACTGATAATTGTCTAATGTCTCGTTTTTTAAATAAACAAAAATACCGAAAGTGTGGCTCCGTCTAGCGGCGTGAAAATGGAACTATTTTACGACAAGCTTGGGCGGTTCGCTAGAGATGGCGCCACATTTTTCGGTATTTTTATTTGTTTAAAAAACTTAAAATTAGTCAATTATTAGTGTGCAAAATAATAATTAAAAGTTGAAATGGTGCGTAGTACAGTGATTGCGATGTAAAAAATATAGGAATATGCAGAAAAAAATAAAAAATATAAATACATATGAAAAATTAGTTCGGAGGCTGCCGCGAGATGGCTATACTATTCGCGGGTCCATTAGCTTGCCTATATGCTCTTATTGTATATGGAAATATACGATTCGAATGAATTTAATGAACAATAAAGAATAATTCTTAACAATTGTGGTACTGCTCATTGCTCTGGGACAATGATGCATCCTTGTCAATACTTAAGGATGGTTAGCATAATATTTTGATATGATCAAGGCGAAAAAAATGCTCTCGTCTGCAAAGGGTTTCAACAACTCGACAACATTCGAGTACATTCGAACTGTTCCTTTCTTTCGGATTGCTCAGTTTATTCGAGCCTATCGTTTGTTTCGAATAGTAAGCTGGGCCCGATTATTCGAACCGAGTAAAGCTCGGCTCGCTTTTCGGAGCTTTCATGAGCTTTCCGATAGCATTACTGCTAAATCGAACAGCGTTACCGATATGCATTACCAGACCCAGGACGAAATGCACTCTTTCTCTTTTTCTTTCCTCTTTCTTTTCGACCTTCGCTACTTACAAATAAATAATAATAAGATAAGAAATATTATAATAACTCAGTTATTATCACATCTTAGGCATGGGGCGCCAAGCATACAATTAAAGACAGTCGTAGCACGACGATATACGATACCACGAGTTTCCCGTCTGTAAAACTACTCTGTGGTATCGCGACCAATCAGGATCAGTGTAGTTTACGTTCAGTGTAGTTGATAAATGGTGGATTTGTGTTTGTCAAGATAGTTTTGTTTACGCGTTAATTTTCACTCGGTATCAACTTCTCGTGCGTTTTGTGTGTGATAAGAGGTAGATGAAGGTGCGTAACAGTTCCCTTCAGGTTTCCTATTAAATTTGAAAGGTAGGAAAAACATGGACACGGAGAACTGTACTCTAACGCCAATGTTTGCCGTGCGCCACATATGAACTGTGTAGAGAAGAATGATCGTTCAAATAAAAAAAGTAAATGCTAATATTCGAATCATCACTTACAATTCTTATAAACAATTCTTAAGTCTCTCTAAATCGATTAATTTCTATGAAACAGCGAGGTTAGCTTCGTACTTGTACATTTTTACTTCGTAGGTTAGGAATCAACTAACTTAGGATTATTAAACGATATATTTGTATTGAATTGTATAAATCGCTTTTTAGTAGTGTTGTTATTGTACTTGAACCTGCGAAACGGTATATACTATTTTCACTTTATCGCTTTGTAACTTTGTCTTTGATGAAGGATTAATTACACAAGGTACACATTTTATTGATACCTTGACTCTAGCTAACAAGAGTATAGAATTTACGTATAATTCGTGATGTTTCTAATATAATAAGTCTCGAACAAGACAATGTTTATTTTTGACATTACTTTAATATTCACACTTTACGAGGTCCATACATCTTAATTCCAACATCTGTTATACTTGCAATCATAGCATGACTACCTCTGTGTATATTTGTATTGGTAAGAGAGACACTATGTTAATCAGCAGATAGGTATTCTTCAATACTTATCCAAATATGGAAATAATGTGAAAATTAAACATTGTTTGGTCCAAGAGTTTTATTTAGGAATATACTACAGTATAATTATATCTTTTCCATTAATTTACAATTCCATTAGTAATCCAATTGATTTACTTTCACCCTATATATAATATTTAAAAATAGAATATGGTTTTTTGTAAGATTAGTTTACTAAAATTCATTTGCTTTTTCAGGATTTGAGATGTCCCGCAGTCACAATGATAAGTATGAAAACTCGAATCCACGCCGTGCACATACTTTCATGTCGACAGAGGACGCAAACTCTGGGAAGAAATCTTATTGGCCGGAGTTGGAGATAACAGGCAGTATAAGAAACTTAAGCCCAAACTTATGGCAATTGACTCACCTGACAGCATTGTATCTGAACGACAATAGCTTGCAAAGGATACCATGCGAGATCGGTCAACTGGTCAACTTGCGTACTCTAGATCTCAGTAGTAACAAATTGCGCAGTTTGCCAGCAGAGCTGGGGGACCTCATCTACCTCAGGTAAGATTTAGAAGAGAATTCTATTAGAGAATTAGTAAAAATGCCGGATTACCCTACAATAGACTGTATCTTTTGAACTCAATCCATTGGTAACGTTATCGTTTCGAACTGTCTTTGTTGTTCCAGAGAGTTGTTATTGAACCAAAACTATCTTCGAGTGTTACCATACGAACTTGGGAAGTTATTCCAGTTACAAGTCCTTGGACTGCAGGGGAATCCCCTTAGCAAGGAAGTAATGTCGCTGTACGGAGAACCTTCGGGGACGCACAAGCTGCTGTCGTACATGCTGGACAACTTGCAAGGTATACGAATGAAAATCTCTTTTTTAACGATTTATTATAAGAGGAAAAACACCAGGAGACTTTAATTCTTCCGTCGTGCTATTCATGTACAATTGTTATTAATTAACTGGTATTAATAAAACAGTTATCCATCGATGAATATTTGGCCTACGTGACGGTTATGTTAGCACTAAACTTTTCTTTCACCTCATTTACGAATCAATTGCTATTCAATTTTTTCTTAAAGATCTACGCTTGAATTTAAGTATAAGTGCGTCCGTTAAGGACAATTCAATTCCTTTACACTTCCTCCAAGCGAGGAAAAAGATCGGGAAAACAAATCGGTGAATAGATTTGCATAATTTAGCAAACTCGATCAAGGTGTCCGTTGGCATTTTGATTATGCATAATGTTTGAGCGTTATCCCAAAGTTTCGCCATTTTCTACCAAGGTTCTCGCCTTGAAAAAAAGAAACATCCGCTCTTCGTCGACCATTTTGGTCTTCGTTGGCGCACTTCTTACAATTGCCGATGCTTATACAAGAGGGTAAAGTCGTTCCTCGCGGTTAAGGAATGAATTTCAATGAAATATCTAGGAAATTATTACTTTCGACAAAAGATTTATCGATAAACGCAATTGCTTGAAAATTATTTCTAACATCAGCTCTTGGAAATTTTTCATATAAAGTATCGATCTGATCTCGTGCAACAGCGCACTTAACAATCATTCAAAAGTGCCGTACACGCGTTAAAGGCTATAATTTTTAGATGCACATTTATGCGAAGATGAATGCATAGTGTACATGAAAAATTGTTGTGAAAGTCCCAATTCGACAAATAATTTTTAAACAGTTGAATTCGTTTCTACGAATATTTACTTTTAATTTTTTCCCGTCGTCTCAGATACACGATATCTAGGTTAGTATTAAATACATGTTCGTCGAGAATATTCTCGATCTCACAGGGCCGGTACGGGCCCTCGATGGTTTCCGGACATGCGCGAGGAATTTGTATAGGTGCGTGCCGATGGCAACGTCTACGCTGAAGATATCAAGATGGAAATTCCTAACGAAATTCCTGTAACGAGACTTGTCTGCAAGGATTTGACGACCGACGTTCCGTAATCTATTCCAAATTTCGTTGCTTCTATCCTGTGACGCAACGTATCAGCTAGAAGAGCTTGAAGAGTTCATCGGAAGTGTTTCTACGCGGTATCCTCCGGCGCGCTCTAGCGGACAAACATGGCCGACATGACAGTTGCGGCATGGAACGCGTCGACAAAAGCGGCTGACCGAAAAATTCGACAAGACTGAATCTTCAGCGGCGATCGAGCGACAGAATTTGCTCAGCAATTCGCAAACGTGATCGAGAACCGGCGACCTAATTTCCTCTCGTCCAAACGAAACTGGTCTCGCTTCGATCGAGCGTTGCTCGAGCACAGGAGACGTCTAGTCCTTGGCACTGATAACTCAAGAAGAGGTCCGATAACTTGCCGGACCTGTTGCAACAGCCTGTTCACGTCCGTGTAGATTAATCCATTATCAAGAATCGTTTCCCTACAAGTGTCATAGAAATTCATAATGCGAACGACGAAAGGATTGATAAAATAATGTACGCTTTCGTTTAAATAAACAACGCAACTACAAAACGCCTGTACACGATTGATCTTGCGAGAAAGCGTGGTCCCGATACTCTAGTCCTTCTTAAGTTCATCTTCCTCCTCTATATATATACAGGGTGTCCCAAAAGTCGGGGAGGAGCCGGAAACGGGGGGTAGCTGAGACGATTCTGAACAACAATTTCCTTTGCAAAAATGTCGGATGGGGCTTCGTTAAGGAGATATTAAGAGAAAACCCCGACCAATCAGAGCGCGAGTATGCCGGTTGAGCGTAGGCTACGCGCTAGGCGGCAGCGCTCATACGCTACCGCGGCCGCTCCAACGGTCTACGCGCGCTCTGATTGGTCGGGGTTTTCTCTTAATATCTCCTTAACGAAGCCTCATCCGACATTTTTGCAAAGGAAATTGTTGTTCAGAATCGTCTCAGCTACCCCCCATTTCCGACTCTTCCCCGACTTTTGGGACACCCTGTATATATATATATACATTTTTTTTTTCTAATTGCAATCAGAAAAGAGTTATGTCTTGTTACAGTGGGGTTTCCTTTCGATTCCGGATGATTCGTGCACGAAAATCTCATTGGCAGGCTAGTAGTCCGTCTCCGGGTGGCGCTTTGTTTCGGTTTTTGGATGAAATGTTTCAAGATTAAACCACGGTCTACGACGGAATGGATACGGGTTAGATATACATACATCGTCGAATGCCTTTTGGGAAGTGGGTCGCGAGGTTCGAGCCTCGAATGCGAACATCGATTGTATCGGATTGGTGAATAAAAGTGATTGCTACATACAATGGTTTGCTGTTGTTTTTCTATCGTCAAAAGTGGGATCGACTTGTGTTCGCGACCAGCGAGGAAGTTAATTATTCAAAGGGAAATGGCGATGGATAAGTGACAAGAACGTAACGAGTGAGTGTAAAAAACCTGTTTTTGATCGTTCGGATGAAAAACGATCGCAACTGTGATTTTCCAGTGTAGCGCAGGAAACTGGTGAACATTGCGAGTCGCGGTGATTCTGGTATACAAGTGTAGCAGCGTCACCTTTGTTTATTTACTCCACGGGTAGACGAAGCATGAGAGCCATGATCCCTCTGTACGTTATTAGGACGTTTATATTATTGGATCTATGGGATTCGTAAAAGAAGAAATTCACAGTCTTTAAAACTTTGTATCAAATACTTTATCGTTAGGACACGGAAGGATGTGTTTTCGCTACAAGATTCGAACCAAGAGCGACAGCTTTTTCCAAAGCGCATAGAAAAATACGGCTTGGGTCTGCCACATGTTTTTCACACTGCCCTCATCGACACAAATACACCGTCAGAGGCCCAAAACTACGAAGGCAGCAGAAACGGAAGTTTTCACTTTTGAGTAAACGCAATGTCCCTCAACTCTAGATTTATTCTTCTTACGTTTGCTACGAAATAAACCAACATATATTTAGGTATTCCTTGGAGTCGAGCGTAAACGACATCGAGGAATATACTCGTTCGTACACCGTCCAGAAGGAGACACTTCACACCGGGAAGACTGACTACTTGCTCAGCTGCGATTTTTCGAGGACTGGTCTTGGATAACATCGTCCTGCCAATTCGGCGCACCTCGGGCGAACGGCTCAAGAGAGTTTTAGTTACTAGCGACGTTATCTAGGACTCGAATCCGACGAGTACCGCTACGCAACGTAAATGGGATGGAAAAGACTGTGCTGCCCGACGGGGGTCATGTACAGTAAAAATGACCTACGGCTACGCGCCGGAGAAAACAGAACCTCGACGCTGTAACATCTGCCAAAATGAAAATGTACGTCTGTCTCTTAAAGCAACGACTTGACGCTCTACGCGTTTTTACGACGAATTCGAACGCTGCGATAATGCTGAAAATATATCGACGAACTTCGTTACCATATGTCCGAAGATGGCTGTTGGGGAAGAAGAGAAATTGCTATTCAGGATAGAAGCTGTTTAGACACTCCTGGAGTTCAAGCTACGAGGGAGAAAGATCTGGACCATCGAACAGCTGTTTGCTGTATATGGAAGTCTTTATCTCGAGGTTACACTATTAAATTAGTGTGCGTGGATATAGATTAACACGAGCACTACTAAAATATTCTATTCTCCATCCATATTCTCTTAAAACCATTTCACCAATGAATCTCCTCTCTGTGCACGCCAGTTAAGCGGTGGACACAGCTTAAACACGAAAGTGACTTTATTCGGAACGACCGATTCCCGCAACATTCGTCTGGGGGCCTGATTGTTAATACTGTTAAATACTTGCATCTAAATACTGGAATTAACGTCGTTTGTATTTTAGCGTAGTAAACATGTTTGAAAAATGTTACTTTTTTTCAAACGATCGATCGTCTTTCGAGCGGTTATAAACGTTGCCGTTATAAAAATTCTTTAAAGACGTTACCAAATGAAAATGTGTGCCGCGTTAAAAAACAAATTCGTTAGCCTACTTTCTCCTCGGTTAGGTATCTCTCGACCATAAACTACCACCTTAATAAAAATTCCTGAACGAGCGCGCTCAAACTTTTCTCTCGCAACACGACCAACTCGATAGCCGATTACCCTGTTCCTGTCCACGACTTTCTCCGCACGTGGAGATCGGTTGTCGGTCTGCAATCCACCGCGCCCGAATCCTTTTTGTTCGACAAATCGCGGTAGGCGCGTTCTAGGGTCAGCCGCGTGTCGCGTGGGCGCGATTTCCTGCCTTTCTCCGAAGCCTGAAAAAAGAAACGAATCAAAAGTTGAGGCACTCGCTCGACGGCCACCGTCGAACAGCGACGGTGACGCGAATGTAGGTAGAGGGCAGCGATTTCTCGTCTACTCGTTGCTTCGTCGCGTATTGTTAACCCTTTGCACTCGAGGCCTTTTTTTAAAAGGAGGACTTCGAAAAGGAGGAGGTTACGCAATTCGACGTGTATATTTTTATTTAAGATGTTTCTTAGCACTCTATTGCCATGAATTCTAAGCTATCTAGATTTGAGAACAACGTCACCTTTACCTCGTCAACGATCATTTTATCGACACTTCGAGCTCCGAAGAAATGAAACTTGACGAAATTTAAGAGATTAGGTATCGTGGATTTGCCGCGTGAAACCTAATGGTGACTGAGAGTCACCTCTCGAGCGCAAAGGGTTAATTAACGAAGTAGAATAATGAAACAACGAAGGAAGGACGATTTAAATATTAGAGTTTTGCAGAATATAGCAGAGTTCAGCTGACAAGGAAAGCTTTTTAGGTGTTCGCCTCCGATTGTTTTGATTTTTGAATATGTCTCAAAGGACCGAGAAATAAGATATACGTATGTTTTTTTTTTTTTTTATATCGATCCACTTTCATATTTAGGGGGTGAAACGACTCCCTAAAGTTTCAGCTGCGATATAAAATCTGGCCCTATATTTTGTACGAAATAATCTGTTTATAATAGTAGCCTATCGCAGCTGATACTTTAAGGAGTCCTTTCACCTCCTAAATATGAAAACGGACCAATATATATAAAAAAAAAAAAACATACGTATATCTTATTTTTCGGTCCTTTGAGACATATCCAAAAATCGAAACATTCAGAGGTGGACACCTAAAAAGCTTTCCCTGCCAGATAAACTCTAGCGTCGATTTAGAATTTCGTCGAAGCGTGGATGTTTGCGAAGATAAACACGGGTACTTGCTCTTGCGAATAATGAAAGCTACGGGAAACACGGGTATTCGATTTTTTACGACGATCGTCGTTTCTAAAAGAAAGTTCATCCTGGTAGAATCGGAGTTCGATTTCTCATTGGCAATGGGGAAAAAAAAAAAGCAGCGATGACTACAGAATGAGAGAGAGTGAAAGCTGACGTGTTTGTTCTTTTTCGCTGCTTGGGCGCTGAATACTAATGGCGACACGTAGCGCTCTGGCGATCGAAGGTTACTTTTTCCTCGTGGAAGCGAAGGTCCTATGGAAACTTGGACTGTCTGACTTTTCCGATTAAGCTTCGGCAAGATTTACTACGATGCACGATGTATCAGGATATTGTAAATATTGTAGATACAGGGGCGGTGGAACGAGCGAGCTAGACTTCATTTTAGACACTAGGAACGCTTCACGATTTTTACGTGTCGTCCTTGCGCAGGGACCGTGCTGATCTTCTATGTATCGTTCCAATTTTGGTACATGGCGAAGCAAGTACATTTTAAACGCTAGGAAGAACGTCTAAAGTTCGTCTAAAGTTTAGACTCTAAACTCTAAACAATCCAAGACGAGACACCCTCTTGACTCGTGTCGCCCAAGGAAACCTCGATACGCGCCAACGATGCTTTTTGTAAACGTAAAACTTTCTCCTTTAAGTAAGAGAAAATCCGACAGTAAATAATTCGTAAACCGATAATGTAGAATCGAATTGTGAAAATTTGTCAAAAATTCTTCGAGTTACATCGAAACGTCCCTAAAGACTACCGCGTATACAAACTTGTACAATCATTCGACGTGGTACACGGAAAAGTGTCCGGTTTCCCGTCGAATGGCCAAAGGGAGAAATTTCCAAGTTGTTCGATTCCAGGGTCTTCGTTGTTACTTTTATAGCGTTCGTCGATTTCGAGGAAAAATCGCTGGAATTAAGTGGAAATGGAGCGTTTCGAGGCAGCGCGCATAGTAAAAGGAGGACAACGACGGGGAGTGGGTCAGCAAGGGGCGAGACGGGAATAGAGATGGTAAAACTTTCTCCTGTGATCATCCCACTGACCCCGATATCATCCAGTCGAAGATTTCTATGTATATCTGCGATATCCTCCTCCGCTGCACGCAGATTTCCCTTCTATACGTTTTTATCCTCTCTCGGAATTATTAACCTCCATTTCCTATCCTTTATCTGTTCGCTCGGTACCACCGACAGGCACTCGCGGTAAATTCGTTACAGTTCACGAGAAGCGAATGCTACAGCAGGAAGAACATGGTCTCTCTATGTTAAATACATTCGTATCTTTTTTTTCAACGCGAAAGTGTTTTATACAGATCGGTAGGGTATCGGTGAAAAGTGCGTCGGAAAAGTGTGACGAGAAAGCGTTACGCTATTAGTCACGTGTATTACTCCTACGACCCTTGTCGCCTCGTCTTACGTCGCACTTTTTCGTCACGGTTGATGCCTCGAGTTCCCCAAACAAAATATTATCGTTGTTGGAAAGGTAAAGTCTGGGTTTATAGGTTGTCGTTTAACGACCGAGACTGTCGATTACTTCGCGAGGACAAAATTCTAGCTCCGAGTACTCTGTACTTTGACGCGATACAGGCTCGCTTAGTCCATCTTCTTAGAATCGATTCGACGTTTAGAACTAAACGAGTGTTCCGAAACACTTTCGTGTTTGATCTGCGTGCACCGCTGTACTTGTGACTCTGCACTTGCGTGCAGAGAGGAGATTCATAGTTCGAGTCAGGTATGAGATTTTCCTATGCTAGCGCAGCTATCGCGTAGTTCCGAGGCAGGTAATGTACAATTGATCAGTCGGACGTTCTCCCGGAGTTGGAACTGTACCAATTCAATCGGAGTCTCGTCCAAGGTCTCGGATTCATCCGTACGGGTATCTCTGATGCTCGGTTCTCGGGATACTCCGAAATATTCCATCGATGTTATCGCAGGAGTTCCGAGTCCCCTGTGTTTGCTACATCCTGAATTAGATTCGGCGGTCCTGCGCAAAAGATGTTGCCGACCGCGATCGAGTTCAGGTATAAAAATATAAGTTTATGTAGCGAACAATGGTAAATATTCGGCAGATAAAAAACATCAAGAGGATCGTTCCCGTCGTTGAGGTGGAATGGACCGGAGTCGAATATTCGTTATTCGAATCAGAGGACAATTTACCATCCGAAATATTTCCAACGGTCGGCGCAAAGGTGTTAATGTATTTCTGCAACCTCTTCACTGGTGTCTTGCCATCGATGCTCCCCTAACATGTCAATTCAACAATTCAACAAGCCAATTGAACAAATTCAGCGTGTTATTCGAATCAGAGGACAATTAACCATCCGAAATAATTCCAACGGTCGGCGTAAAGGTGTTAATTTCTTCGGATGGTCCGTGGCTTGTATTCGCTGACGCAAAATCTTGGATCACGCTTCTGGCCACTGGAGAACAAGCACGAGGTTCACTGGCTTGATAACGGCAGTTACTTCGCTCCAGATGAGACGTTCTAGAGAAGAGTAGGTGGGTCGTGTGCGAGGGTTCAACCGAGGGCGGCCGCGGGCGATTGATGACTTGTGACCCACTTTTTAAGGCTTACGACCTAGATGCGAGGGTGCCGTAGCTCGATCTAAGATATCGGGCTTCCTTCCTTTTCTACGGACCAATTACGTTTCCCTTGTTTTTCGTTCTTTTACTTTTCCCAGGCTCTGCCGTTCGTCTAGCGTAGAAATGAGTTCGAAGCCTTTCTAAAGTAAACGAAACGAAGAAAAACACCTTGCTCGCGTGTACCGCGACAGAGAATCACCTAGAATTACCTAGACTTTGGTAACAACGAACTTATCGAGGAAATCGATACGGTTTTTTTTTTTTTTTTTTGTTTTCGCGACAAAGAGTAGAGAAGAAATACGACGGTAAAAGTGGTTCCGATGGTCGAGAGCACCGCTGACGAAATAAAAATTCATACCCGTCGGTATACCTTTGAAAAGTTCAGAGAAACTTGGCAAGCAGAGCAACTTGGCTTTCTTCGACGCCTCTCTAAATTGTGACAGGCCGCCCCGTCCGCCGGAAGGAGCGCTATTATGTGTATACAAGCGGAGTACGGGAGTGATAAAGCTTCGTTAAGTGGTGTAGCGCGGTGCGGTGCATAGAAAGGCGGCGGCGGCGGCGGCGGCGGCGGGGACAAGGAAAGGTGGGGATGTGTCTCTGTCGGCGGTGAAGTTTGGTAGCGGAGACGGGAGAGAGGTGGGGGATGTTTCTGGCGGCGGTGAAGCGTGGTAGTATTGGCGAACCGGGGGCAGGAGAAGGGTGGGGATACGTCTGGCGGCGGCGTGTGCGGTATATAGCGATGTCGGACCAGCAACGGCGGAGGTGGAAAGGTCCAAGGAGTGGGGGAACCGCCTCGCCGCAGATTGAACCGACAGACGGAGTGGGCGCGTTGCTGAATCGTGCCTCAGTATCGCTCCGACCGCCGTCGACTACGGTTCATTCGTTGCTCCGATGTATCCTCGTTGTGTCGTGGTCGCATAAACCCTAAACGAACCTCGGTGCGAGTGAAACGCGACGCGTACGACGAGATAGCATCGGGAGAGCATCGTTCGGAGTGGTGTCGATCGAACGAATCCCTAATGACAATGGGCTAAACCTGTGCATCGATTCTCTCGATAGAAGTCCGACAGAGGCCTAGTCTCGACCGGATCTGGGTCAATGGATTATCGTAAACGTATCACAGCGACGCGTTAATCGAGAACTTGAGTTAAACTCGATGAAGCGTTAACAGCATCCGACGGTGGTGACGATATATTAAACGGCGTTCCGGGGCACTGTAAGATGAGCCCTGCCTCCCAAGGCGTCGTAGAGGTGGAGCGTTACATCGGCAGTTGCCTAATATCCTCGAATCGAAGGCCAGGCTCGCACAAGGCGGTCGTGAAGCAGCAAGAGCCTTCGTTACACGGAAAGACGCGTTGTTACGGTGGACAGAACCTGATAAACACCGGCGATCAGGTGCAATATGGTCCCGGCGATTGGACAGGCGCTCCTTTGATATCCATGACTAGCCCGCGCAGATGTAATCAGAGGTCGGTTAGCCTACAACCACAACCACAACAACAGCCACAGGCTTGCGAGGTGTCGACACACCTGCCCAAGAATCCACTCTCCAGGCTAGCCATTCACACGCAGGGAGCGCCGTTGATCTTGGCAGGCCGGTTTCCCAATCGCAAGATACATAACACCGTGAACGGCATCGCCAACGCGCTTTGCAACGCAGCGGTTAGCAGTTACGTTTACGGCAATGGAAACATGCTGAGATGTCCGCCGTCCCGGCCTCAGAGGCACACGGCGGACCACGCCAAGAAGCAGCAAGCGAGTTCGAAGTCGGACCTGTGCTCGAGCAAAGAGACCGTAGCTGTGGTCGCGATGGGAGCCAACATCGCCAACATCGATTCGTTGAGCATCGCCAGCGACGAGAGTTCGGGATCGAACAACTCCGAGAACAGCCTGCCCCGTATAATAAAGCCACGAAAGCGCAGGAAGAAGGACAGGAAACCGGTGAACAACTTGGTCGCTATCGACGTTGTTCAACAGGAGGACCAGCAACAAGAGCCAGCGTTGGCTGTCGAGCAACCGAACTTGAAACCGTACGTGCCGGTCTGTTACGAGCAGCGTTTCGAGGCCTTGCCTCAGATTAGGAATCACAGGAGGCTGCCGATCGGAAGGAAAAACGTGCTGCACGGTTGCAGGGCCCAGACGCCCGGTATACAGGAACCGACGGACGTCAAGCAGAAGCAAACGCACCGGCATATGGAACCGAACGACGCCAGGCAGGAGCAAACACACCGTCGCGTGGAACCCACCGACGCCAGACAGAGGCAAACACACCGGCGCATGGAAGCTACCGACGCGAGGCACGAGCACGCAGACCGACATATGGAAGTGAAAGTGCCGGACGACAACAGACTAGTGGAAATTCACACGGTTCCTTCGAGAGGTCACAGACACGCTCGCCAGCCGACCAACAACCTTCCGATGTTTCCGCAGGAATACAGCGTGCTGGCAGGGTGCAGAAACAACAAAGAGGGGTTAGGGTCGTGCCAGTGTCGGTACTGCGACCCCTCGGGAGTTATTTGGGACGTGGATCAGAACTGTTACTCGCCCTTCTTGACCTCGAGTACCGGCCACTTTCCTCACGTGCCGTTTCTCGCCCGGCCGACTTCGCACTGCCGCAATCAGAGCATAGAGAGGCTTAGCGGTTTGGTCCACGAGGAAAAAGATCCCGGGCCCGGTGTTGTTCTCAGACGCAGCTGGAGCGACCCTACCAGTTACTTCAGCGAGGACAACATTGGCGCTCCTAGCAAAGACGTTGGTGTGATCGGTGACCGGTGGCAGGGTGACAGTGGGAAACACAGGACGCTCTGGCACGGTGACACCAGCGGGTTCCTGGCGAATAATCCGGGACTGGGGACCGATATGCCGAGCAACGGTTTCGTCTGCCAACGGCAGAAGGGTCTGGAGGTCTCCACGGAGATCATCACGTCGCCCAACGGTCACAGAGACCTGGAAATTAAGTTCTATTCGCCGTCGCTGAACGCCAACGCTCCCGACGACGAGAAAATCCTCTTCGCCGAGGAAGCGGACGACGACGAGGAGGATTTCAGCGACATTTGGAGCTATCACGAGTCGAAGTTGCAGCAGGATTTTCGCACGTTGCTGCAAGCGGAGGAATGAACGCGAACGAGAATTTGTGATTGTGGGAATATCGAGCGACGGCGATGAGAGATTATGCGCGAGTGTGTGAAAAAGGTGGTACTACTGGAAGTTTGAATCAATTTGATCGGCTGGAGAATAAAATCGAGGGATTATGTGAAACGGAAATTTCGTGCCGAGTCGAAAATATCGATCGGTGTCGTTTGTTACGTTACCGTGTGGTAGCCGAGTAGGCTGTTGCGCGCGACACGAGACATGTCTCATCGAAACACGAACCACTGTGTGGAGTAATACGATGGCCCGATATTTTTCTTTGTATTTAAATAAACACGTAAGAACGTGTGTGTCGCGCTATACGTCGCACGTTTTACTTTGTGCAAACATCCGGGGAACACGTAGAGAATCGTTTCGGTTGAAACGTGCTTCCTGGAAGCCACGGAAATAAATGTAAACGAACGATAGCGTGTTATACGCAAAATATCTTTGCGCGATAGATCGATAATTTGTTCATATTCTGCGATATCACGTTTCTTCTGTAAAACTTCAACTACAAATTTTCTATCGATTCGTACGGAGTTCTTAAATAATTGCTTGCATTTAAATACTCGTTGGAAATGTACTACTGTACGCTTCTAACGAGAAACGTGTTTATTTGCAAAGTTATTTTCCAGGGTAGAAATATTCTGGATGAAATTGAGCTCGTTTTTGGAGATACGAGTCTCAAATGGAATAATATCTTCTGTTTACACTTTTTCCTATAATCTCCGCAAAGAAATCGTTCCAAGAAATTTAAACGCGTTTACGTAAAGTAGGACATGCGTATAGGATCCACAAAAGAATGTTTATTCTTACGTGTATCTCTAAATATGAACGAAAAACATTGGGCGCATTTCTCGTGCAGCTGGAGATTGTTCGCAAAAGTCTTGGACGAACCGTTCTACGTTTGCAAGATGGCCCGATTCTACGGCAAACAGATATAGGTCGCGTTAGAAAACGTAACGGCTCATCCAAAATCGCTGTTCGCTCGCCTCAATGTATCTTATGCGTTTGAAAATGATCGTTGGGAGTTTACGCAAGTCTCGCGTTAGGTTCGAGGTTCGTACGAAGAGGGCGCCGTCCCCTACTAAATTGTATACCGGTGGCGCCATTTACACGATCGGACGAGTCGTAACTGTATTCGCTTTAGTCGAAGCACGTCGTAACCTACAAAACGTAACACGCAACGTAACGAGCCGACCGACCACGTTTGCGAATAGATCGGCTCGTTCTTGTCAAAGAATTTTCCTTGGTCTTTCGGACCAGCGTGAAAAAAAACATTACGTAATTTGTCCAAGGGTTTCCAAACTTGGCTGCACCTTACTTGCGACGGACCTAAAATTTTTTAATTTCTTTTAGATAATCCTGTAGATTTCGGCGAGAAAAATCCGGAAATGCTAGTTTTAAGGCGAGGAATCGACTAGTTCAGAAATTATGAGCAGTTAAATGTGGCATTTTACCGTATCTGACCGACACTTTCGGCGCCATGTTGTCTTGTAGCCATACCCTGTCGGTAAAACAGATTCTCGGTGATGACGGACTACATTATGTACCTATACGTACATTTGGGCCTATATTTTCGGGATTTTTTTCTAGAGTACGAATTCAACTTTTGAATCGTCTGTCAAATACGGTCAAAAGGTTCACCTTCAACTGCCTTTAACTTTCACCTTTAACTTCTGAACCGGTGGATTCCTCGCCTGAAAACTAGCATTTTCGAATTCCACTCGCCGAAATCTACAGGATTATGTAAAAAAAAAAAAAAAAAAACTTGAAAATTTTAGGTCCGCCAAAGTAAAGTTTAACCCAAAACTTATTTGGCAATCCGTTTCGGGCAACGTTCGAATCGTTCCAGCGAGCTCCTCGAATGATTTTAGTGCCCTCTGAATTGTTTCGGTGCCCCTCGAATCGTTTCTGTCCCGCCTTTGATAGTTCGAACGCCCTCCATTTGCGGTGACGCTTTGGGAAGCCCGGTTCAGACGGTAACCGTAGATTTTAAGGCGATTTTAGGTTACAACCGTTGTCTATATGTGCATAGATGTCGCGCGTTGAACAGTCCACCATTTTGTTTAGCATCGAAACTTGCACGACGATACGATGACGCGGCAATTTCGAAGACCGAATCGCGGGAAATATTGCTCGTTAGACTCTAAACAACATCGTATTGCTAACGACATTGTTCAGTAATATTTAACAATATTTGGCAATATTTCTCTCTTTCTTGCTGTTGTCCTTTACGAAAGCGGCACTACAATTTGCGTGAATGACAATTGTTGTTGTCTCGATAACGTCGTCGTTGGTATATTTTTCACGTGTAAAGAACGTTGCGCACGCTAAAAAAAGAAGGAGATGGGGAGCAGAAAATCGAACATTTCTAGGAATCGCCCGTTATTTCAAATAATTCAGATACACACCTCTTTGTATTCGTTACAAATATCATTGTGTGTTCGGAAAATATTCATACGCGACACGAGTTGTAATTTCATCGCTCGACTCTTCTCCCTTACTCTTTCCGAATGTATTTATTTAAAAAGTGGTCGTTCGACGGGACCGCGATGACGATGACGCAACGACGATACATACACTCTTATCCGACACATATTCGTCGTTCGGACTACCAACGTCGCTTTAGTACTGTACCGTCTCGAAATACACTGTTTGAAAAAGTGAATAAAGAAAGAACAAAGAAATTCTTCACGAGTTTCATCGAAACCCAAACCAAACCAGACCTGAACGTCTTACCGACCGAGCGATTCGAAATTTGGCGGAGAGGTTTGATGACGAAACCTGGGTCTGTTCGCGATAAGAATCCTTCGGAAAAAATACGAATCTTCACGTTCGAAATCTAAGGCCAACGATTAACGCGTCGTTTCCGATAGCTGACACGCGAGTTGTTGGATGAAATTTATGCTCGTAATTATTACGATAGCAGGATAAGCGAGTTACACGGCAGTAATAAATGCGCCTCGTTAGTAATGTTCATTTGAATTTCAAAGAGCAACGTGGAAAAATTAATCTGAATAACGCTTTTTTTGTGTCTCTCGACTTGTTATTTTGTGGAGTTAATCGATTCGACGAATGAAAAACTGGTGGAAATGGTGGTATTCTCGGATAAGGATATCAACGCGACCGTACGATTGGTTGCTTCGGTACACGATATTTATAAAGGTACGCTCCACGTTGAACTAAATCGGTTTCGCGAAACTGCTTCGATTCTTGCGGGAAGGATTGCCCTTTAACCGACTATAATAAGCGTCGGGGCCGTGTCGAGGCACATTCTGGCATTATAGCGAAACCTTTCGTGATATGTCAAGAGGAAACCAACGAACGGGATCTCGTTGCACTCCTAGACCGCTTGTATCCCTGGTTCGGTCTACGTAGTTTCTTCCATGGAGCGAGAGCTCTTCGCGTCCCCATTATCGCGTCTGCTTCCCTCTTTCGAAAAGAAAACAACATCTGTCGAGTCTCGAATCCGTATCTCAAAGGAATTAAAGAGCAAAAAGGCGAGGTGTGATTCGACGAGCTTCTCTCAAACATTCTTTCTGAACTTTTCTATCGAAACGATCCCGTACTTTCATTATAAAATTGAACATGCCACTCGAAAGGATTTAATAATTAATTATTAGGTAGTAAATTAATTATATTAAACGTCTAGAGATTTACGAACGAGGGTGTAAGTATCGGTGTCCGAAGCGTCGCGTGGTCCGAATGGAATGGAAAGTAACCTAAAATCGGTCCCGCGCGAAACGCGCGAGCGCCGAGTGCCCAACTCCGGTGGACGCGATACACGGCCGAATAACGAACGAATCATACGATTTCTCGCCACGGTGAACACATAACAAAATCGTGGTTCACTTTCTCCTCTCAGGCTCGTCCTCAATTGCGAGAAGTCGAGACTGTGGCCCTAATTATACGGGCGAGGTGGCAGAGGCCAGTCCAGCGAATAATTATTTTCTGTTTCGGGTTGGCAGACAGACCCCTTTCACTTGCTCATAGAAGACCAGCGCAGGGACGCTGAAATTAAAAAACCTTCTTTTCTCTTCGTTTTTCTCCCAGCTTTCTCGTTTCTTCAGAGTTCGTTTCGGTATCGATGCACATCGGTATCGATGCACGATACGTATCGTGCGTTTTACGGTACTTTGTCGCGTCTCTCGTGCCTTTTTCGAAATTTCGTGTCAATTCTCTTGGGATGTCGCACAGTCGAGGTGTGGCAAACCATCGCGCTTCGCTCGGAACAGTGCAGAAACTGTCGTAGATGACGAATAGTTTGCGTCCAAATGAATCATCCGTTTCGAAACGGATCCTATTACTTCGCGATCTACTCTTCGAACGCGTGTATCCGTGTCGCTTGCCATCGATCCGATGCCTAGCAACCGTTCAGCACCCGCGAATCCGATTTTCGTTAAAATAACGAATTTCTTTTTCTCGAGTGGCGTCCATCGAACGACGACAATTTTTTGTACGACCGAGAGAATCGCGCAATGGCACGCGCGACCCTTGCGTACCAACGCGCGACATTACCTTTGTGTAGGTAAAGGTGACACGAGAATGCTTACGGCGTGTGCCTTGTTTCCCCTCTCGAGTGCAGACGTCGGTGTCGCCTCTTAAGGTCAACGACTGACAAAAACTCACCGCGGAAGATGTTCCATTTAGGATTGCTCGCGCACTTGGTTTAAAAGTTGCTTAGCTGGGATATGACGGCTAGACAGCATCGATAACCAGCAATAAATCGTACGCTGTCAGGTTCCTTTCATCTCGGAACCTAACCTCGATTTATGATGAACTTACATCGCGCTTCGTTAACGGTTCGGATTGGAACCTTCGCCTCAGGCGTCGACGCGACCTAACGTTTATAAGGTCAGACTTTCCAGTTAGCTAGTGGTGCATCAGCTTCCTGTCGATATTTCTACCGAGTCGAAATTTTAACACTTTCGTCGTTTCAGAGCACAAGTTCGTTCCCGTGCTTGTGCATTCGTGCACTCGAAGATTTAAGGAGACTTTACTTTGCTTTAAAGAGCCGATTGATCGGTTACCGGTCGGTAAAGTGGTAAACATTGAGATGTCAATATGCATATGATATGTATACAAAATAAATCTGCATAAATCTGCATAAATCTGCGCAGTTGCACGCGTGTCCATTCGATAATTTATGGATTTTCGTCTAACGTAACGAACGTAGAAGCGCGCAGAAAGAAACGATAGAGATCCGACGAAATAAAGAAAAGCCGAGGAAGAAGTCGAGCGAGCCGGCGCGGCGCGGCGCGGCGCAGACATTGATTAAACTAGGAGCAGTTGCCCCGGCATACCAAGATAATGCTACTAAATTATAGGATGCCATGCCATAAAATGCCTGACGTATCGCAATTAAAGGCAAATCCGAATAAGTTAACCAAGTCCAAGTATCCCCGTTCTGGTTTATCGTCGGTGGGATCATGATAAACCAGAAGGTTCCTACCAACGTGTTTAGCTCTCGTTCAGATGGTATCGCGGAGGTGCCAATGAGCAGGTGTGCATGCTACATGCCGCTTATCTTCGCGTCTATCGCTGCCACAGTTATGGGGACGAGCACTCCTGTGCGTTTATTTCAATTAAACTTTTCGTTGGCAGATCCGTTTTGAGGTGTGGAATTACCAACCGCAAAGTTCTTCCTACGAATTATGTTTATTTTTAACCGACTTTGAAAAGGAGAAAGTTACTCAATTCGACATGTATATATATATATATATATATTTTTTTTTTCGAAGGAGTCAACATTTCTTTTGGTTCAGTAGTTCTTTTAATTTTCCAAGTTCTTCCTATTTGCGAGGCTAGGCAATAGAAGGTTAAACGAGCGTAAAAGGAGTCCGTTTTCGTTTTCTAGTAACGAACCAACTAATTTCTAATCTCGTTTAACACGTTCATGCCGGCATGCATCATCGATAGGTCACACATTGCGCCGAACAGTGCAATCGGCCGTCTCACGGCGTCTCACGGCGCGCGACACTAAAGAACCGTGCCGGCGTCAACGTGTTAATCGACCGTGAAATTTTCTAACAAACCGGGTGCGTCGAAACTAGAAAAAAAAAAAAAAACCTCGGAGATTTTATGAACGTACAAGCGCGAGACAAGCATTAGAAATAACTTTCGTCGAGTATTCGAGTTCTATTAAAAAGTAACTGACGTACGCTATGCTTCGAGACGTAATAGTTACGTAACGATATACTTTGATTCGGTGCATTCGATAACTGCCGGTTGTAATTGTTACGTAAGTACGATCGCTAAGTAGCTATCTATGACTTCTTTTAAGAATCGAAATATCGTATAACGTTAATTGCTACAATTACAATGGTATATAATTCGTGAAAGTTTTGCGACTCTCGAAAGGTTCACTTTTGCCGAATGTAACACGCGTATACAGGGTGTCCCAAAAATGTTGTAACACGTTGAAAGGGGTGGTTCAGGAGGTGATTAGAAACAACTTTTTCCTTAGCGAAAATGTTGTCCGAGACTGCGTTGAGGAGATATTAAGAGAAAACCCCGACCAATCAGAGCGCGCGTATACCGATGTAGCGGTCGCGCTAGGTGGCCGCTCTCGTACGCTACCGCGGCCGCTCCACCGGCATACTCGCGCTCTGATTGGTCGGGGTTTTCTCTTAATATCTCCTCAACAAAGCCTCGGAC